ACTATAAGAGTATATTCGTGGCCGATTTGGAGCAAAAAAAGACACATTTTTCAGAATTTTCGAAAAAAAAGAAGAAGGGACACGAAGGAAAGAAAATTTTTCGCGTTGAGCTTCATTCAAAAGATTTGTCAACCATTTTTTTCTAACAAAATCGTTTTTTGATATTAAAAATTGACATGACAGGGTCAAAAATGACAGGAAAGTTGTAGAGAGCCGAAGAAGTAACACAGGTTGAGAATGAGAAATAAATCCGGAAAACGGGCAAAGGAATCTCGTGCAATCATGTCTCCTACCAATCTCACATGAACAAATTCATAAAGCTTAAACCTCATTTTCCCTTCCTAAAAAAACAAAATGAACCTCCAGCAAGGAGCAACTGGGCGCTGGTCAACGACTCCATTCGGCCGTCGACGCTCATCGACCGCGCCATCCATTCGTACGACGCGAAGTAGATTCCGAAAGCAGGGCCATCTCTTGCGACTGTCGCCAAGAAGCCTCTGCAATCATTTCAAAAATCAAAGCTACTACCAAAATTTAGCATTGCCTTCTAAACAAGTATTTTTTCGATCCTCCAAAAGTGAATAATTTCAATGTTTAGAATATAGCAATATTTTTTGAAAACGATTTTTCACTGCTAAACCCTTGGAAAACACTGTAAAACTTCTATTAGATTGCGTAAGATGTCTTAACCGTTCAAGGTCTCCATCATTGATTGACTTGACCCGAAATTAACTGCAGAAAAGTGGAAACTTTCAAAAATCATTCATTTTTAGTGGTTTTCCCTAAATTTCCTGGGAAGTTCTATAACAAACCAAATATTCTCTTAGTCATCTCTAGCAAGAAACTTGAAACTTGAAACTATGTTTAGAAAAACTTCTCGAATTTTTCCTGGAGTTAGTTTTAGAAGAAAGAACCATATAACATGTAAGAATACCGTAAGAACCATGAAATATTCCAAAAAAAAAGATTTTGTTGAAAGGTTTCTGTTTCTCCAGTACCAAAACCATCAGAACCTCCAAAAATTTCCTGCAGAATTCCCGACCACATTGCGTAACGCTTTGCAATAGTTGGCCAATTCAACGTCAAATGAACATCAATCCCAGTTCCAACTATCTCAACAATCAGGCGACCATCAAAAGTCTTTTCGGTTTGCCGATCAGACAGAGATACAACACGAACTACAAAGAGGTTCCAGAGAGAACCCAAAAGTTTTGAACCAATTAATCAGAAACGATTTTCTCTCTCAAATATTTTGGCGAGGCCAGCAATTTGGCAACATTTGCTATCAATGTATTATAAATCGGGAGAACGGTATCGCGTGATGTCGATTGGAATGAAAGAAAAAAGAATCTTATAATAAAAAAGAAGAAAATTTACGATCGTGTGCGAGTAATAAGAAAATTTGAAGAAAAAAAAGAATTCTTCTAGAAAGGAAAAGTTATGTCTTGTAAATTTTTGAACATCGACCAGAATAGTTCTTGATATCTCAGATGCAGACCCTGAGAGTCTCAACCTGCGCTATTTTCTGTTTTTCGATAAAAAAAAAGTCTCAAAACGGTCTATTTTACCGGCTTTCGATGGTTCTCTTCGATTTTGAGGGCTTATTTTTTGACAAATTCGAAATTATGAAGTTCGAAAACTTCAAGATCTGCATTTGGTACATCAAAGAGCATCTAGATTCAAAAAAAAAAAGAGTCATAACAAAAAGAAGTTCAGAAAAAAAGATTTCAGAAATCAGAATAACCACATTCCGAATAAACTTTTTTTTATGTCTAAAGTATCAATTTTGAGTTTTAAAATTCACATTCTTCAGCTCAAGGTTGATGAAAAACTTTATTTTGCAAAAGTTCAACTTCCCGAAAACTTTTCGAGAGAAAAGCCTCAAGAACCTCTCAATCTTCGGATTTTTTTCATAACTTTTCATCATTTTCGAAGAATTTCGAACTATCCACATTGCACTCATTCAAAAAAGAAAAAAAAAAGAAAATTTTTGACTTAAATTTTTTTTATATGATTTCCGTGGGATCTCTTTTTTCATTGAAGATTCAAAAAATTACCGAGAAAATGTCGATATTCCCTGGGTTCTGGCGAGTTCCCTAATGGCATGGACGGGTCCGCGGAACTTTGTATGGGCCGAGTCGTTCTGGATCTGCAGAAGGAGCTTTATCCTCTCCGTTGGCGTGGCTGGAAAGTGAAATCAAAACAGATAATAAAATGTTTATAAACTGATTTCAATGAGTTCAAGCCCAAATTGCTGAGTTTTTTAGTTTTCCTCTTTATATTTGGTACTCTAAGGCTGCAGCCTTATGTAGAAAAAAAAATGAATTTTCTTCAATTTGCAAAAAAAACCCATAGATACACGACTCAAAGAGACTTGAGATCTAGACAAATCGAAATATATCACTTAAAAATCCATTTTTTCTTTTTATTCTAGAAGTTTTCAGGCTCAAAACTAACCAATAATGCTCTGAGCGAGGCCAGCAGCGGCTCCAGCACAAAAATGAGCCTTCAAAGAGTTCGGATTGGCGAATTCCCTAGAAGTCGACCCGTGGACGCCAAACACGATGGCGTTAATGGCCGAGAGGGAAGCCAGCGGCGAGGAGAGACCTAAAAGTCCATCATTGGATTAAGTTTATTTTTTGTTTTTGCAATGAAGATTGAACGAATTTCTGAAGCTCACATTTTACTCATAACCTTTCCAATACATAATCTCATTCTAGAGCTCAAAATCAAAAAAGACCTTCCAGTTGATTTCATTTACCGTTGACTATAACTTTCTCCATGATAATATTGTAAAAGTGACATTCTGACTACATACAGTATTTTGGTCACACTTTCTTGTAAGGAATCCAATCTTCCTGAAAGTTTCTGAGGCTGCATTGTCTTTTCTGTGAACTGAACTTCATCAGAGTGGTAAAAATAACAGTCAATACAACTCAAGAAAGTTTCAGAAAGATTCAATTCATTACAAGAAAATTATGACCAAAACCCATTTTTTTTCGTATCTTTCTGACGACACTCTAAATTATTACAGAGTCTCAGCAGTTGCTTGCTTAGGCTTTCAGGGACGTCAACTTTATCAACTTGTCTATTCTTCTTCAGAAACCACTACAAGCCTATTCGAATGGATAAATCAAGTCTTACGATAAAAAGGCCAAAATCTACTCTCTGAATGGAAAAATATGACCACAAGTCCATTCTTGACCGTCTTCCACACCACTAAACTCGACAAATATCCATCAAAAATTCGACAATCAGATTTCGGGATCTCAACCAAGTGAATCAACAGCCGTGTCGACGACAAACACGCCAACGACGTCGCTTATTCTCATTCCCCATACAAGGAGCGATTCTCCTTCCTTCCTCTCCCGTCGTAAATCAATTCGGTCGTCTCAATCACACGCACTGACTGATCATCGACTTTTTTTTCCTCCAATTCTTCTTCTTCTTATGTTCTAACTGACGCCAACACCACCCATATGAATCACAATACGTCGAATGAATATGTGTTTAAAACTAGAACTACAAAGTTTAAAGATAACTGGTTGAACTTGAAAAAAAAATGTATTTTCTTTCAACAAGCTGGGATAGAAGTATAAAAAAAGGTTTTATGGGCGATTTAAAAAAATCGAGGCCTAAACCTTTTTTTGAGGGGTATTCGCTTCAGAATTGTTGAATTTTTTCCCTGCTTAACTGACACCGAATGAATTACAAGGTTCAAAAACTCAAAAGCTGAATTTTTGGAAATTGAATTTGTATAAAAAAAACCACTTATTGTTTGTTTCAAATTAAAAATATATAGTTTTAGACTCAATTCAAAACTTATCGCCATCGGAAATCCCACCTTCTTAAAAATAAATGTAACAGTCGAACAAAAAATCAGTACCCAATCTCCAAAAAACACCAAGATACATAACTAAACACAGACCGTTTTAGACGTCCAAAAAACCTATTTTTCTTCGAAAATCTCAGAGAAAACAGAAAAACAAGCTTCTCGATGATAAGACAACACCAGAAACCATTGTTATGCAGAATGAACTTCGCTTTTTTTTTTCTTCCCGTACAAAACGCCATCGAAAATCATGATTCGTGATCTCGTCAAACAATAAAAAACAGACACGTGTTGTAATGGTCACTGATCTATGTTATGAAACTGTAAATTATGCTTTTGATAGAGACATAGAGTTGAAAAGGGCGTTAGAAACCCCGGAAATTATTGAGCGATATTTAAAAAAATCTCGAATCAGGTGAAGTTAAAACGGAAAAAAAAAGTTTTCAAGATTTTTTCATTTTTCAAGAACTAGTCATAGCTCACACTGATCTGTCAATAAATCTATTTATTTAGTTCTTAGCTCGAATCTTCTCAGAAATAATTCCTAAAGAGAGAATCAAAAATTTTTTTCCAGGTTTTCCAAAGCAGCTTTTTTTCCGAGACTCTAACAATACGAGCCCCTTTCTTTTTTTAAAAAGTTAACAGAAAACGTTTTTGTTGTACGACTTTCGGCTTGTCTCTGCAGCACTTTGAGAAGGAAATTTCAAAAAGCTAAAAATTTTCTCTATTAAAATTTTGACATAATCTGTCTCTTCTCTTTTATGACCTTACTCAAAAACTCAATTAAAACACTAACCTTAAACTTCTCGAAAATGAGGATAAAAAAAAACCTTAAACCAAAAAAATTCTTCCCCAATTCCCTAGTTTGAATTTTTTTATGTAACTGCACCTCTGGTTGTCCTATTCTCGCCATTTCTTGACTTCTATCCCAAGAAGAAGAAGAAGAGCTGGACGAACCCTTATACAGGCCACGGAAGCCTTCCTGGTGGAGAATCTTTCGGAGACAGTGAAAGGTTCCGCGGTACAGGGCCTGGCCGGGCTGCTGAGTTTGCAGCCGAACTTTCACCGTGTCCAGCGGGTGGCCGGCCAACACTCCGGCGGCTCCTGAAACACCGCAAATTATAATTGGGGCCATCTTTCCGTTTTCCGAATATTTTAAAATGAAAGGTCTATAGGAAAAGAAAAAGAAACTATTTTATGATTTTTTTTTTTGCGGTTAGACTTACTCATACCTCGATTTCAGACTTTGGCACAAGCTCAGAAGTTTCATCGGTTATTTCAGCATAAATTTAAGAGAATTGCCATTCTCTTTCCAAGAAGGAAAATGTCCTAACAATCTGAATTGAATTTTTATCAGTGTCACGAAATTAACCCAATCTGACCATATCCCCCAGAAAAACAATACAACAGAGCTAGCTCGAAAAGTCCAAAACTAAAGCCAAACCAAAAAAAGCTATTCACAACAAACTAATTCCGAAAACTTCAAGCCAACTCAAAAAAAATCGACAGGAAAAAAAAACGAACCACCAAGGCATCCAGCAAAGAAATCAGTCAAGTCGAGCATAGTAACTCCTCTTTTTGCAACTCTTGAGCTCAACCAGGTTGGTCAAAGACGCGATTCGCGTTTCGCCTCGAGAGGCGCGTCGAATCCCGTAGGAACAGCCACAACTCGGCCGATCAGCAGTTGAGAAAAGTGTCAGAGAAAATAGGAATGAGAAAAAAAAGTTTCAAGACTAAAAAACAGTTGAGTCAAGTCTGGTCGGTTTCAGAACCCGATGGAACGGAGAAGAAGAAGAAGAAGAAAAAGAAGAAGTTGAAAAGGTGGGTCTCTCCGCCCACCGACGCCTTCGACCCACTGACGTCGTCTGCCTCGTGCTTTCTTGGCTGATCTCATCCTAGCCACCACGTGCCGCCTCCTAGACGTTGTAAATTCCCTTGATGGTGGACGGTATCGACGTCGAATCAGTTTTGAGAAGAGAGATTAATGTTTTTGGGAGTGATTGATTAAACGCTTCCTATTTTTCTTTTTAGGAAGACTTCAGAATCCCGGAACCTTTCGGATTCACTTAAACCGTCTCGTGGTCTTTTTCCTTCAGTACAACATCGCCATACCATCTCGATGTTGCGGAAAATAAAGTTGTTTGATTGATTGATCTTGGTGTTCGAAACAGTTTTTATTTTGAGAATGAACTCGTTTTCTCAATAACAGTTGAGCTAGATTCAAACTTCGGAGTTAAAGATAAATATAGGCTCTGAATAGACAGAGATTGAGCTAACTTCTCTGTAGTGAAATGATGTTTCAGAATGCCAAAGAACTTGGTGTTCGAAAAAAGTCTTGCAAAAACTATTTCCAGTGAAATTTAATCGTTTCTCGATGATTAAGTTGAAATTCATTCAAGCTTCGAAATTCAGGGTCAATTAAGGGTATTTAGATGCCTATATTAGGCTTTCCTGTTGTGAATTCCTTGATCGTGAAGAATAGCTGCTTTCGCTGTCAATCTGGGGCTCACCAGAGCTCTAGGAGTCTGAATTCTGAGCTCTAATGGGAAATATCAAAATAGCCTCCGAAGTCGGAAAATTCATTACTATTCGGCTTATTATCCACACAAGTCAACTGAAAAATTTCACTCTCTGCAAAAAAAAATCGCCATGAAAAATTTTTTTGACTTGAAATTATTCGATTATATTCCTTTCATAATATGATATTTAAAATGAAAGAGCGCCAATCCCATGCTTAGTCTCAAAAACATGCTGGGAAGGTGTATTCAATGTAACAAGCAGGAGGCTGGAAGGTATGAAAGCTATAAAGTTTCGGAAAGTCCTTAAGAAATAAAAAATGAAATTTTACCAGAGGTGGGTTCATAATCTTTCCGTCTTCTCAAAGGCAAAGTCATCGTAACGGCTAATCTTATCTTTTTTAGGTAAATTTTGGGTTAAATTCGCCAAAATTCACGGCTGAGATTGTCTGGAACGAGTTTAAATGTTGGAAAAGGCAGGGCAAAGGGAATCTCGCAAATGCAAGCTAATGAACGAGAGAAAGTTTAGCGGACATCGGCGCCTGCTTATTCTCATTCTTCTGATCACAGCTTCAAAAAATAAAACTAAAATTACGTTTTACATAATTTCTTCACTTCAAATTTTGCCATTACTCAGTTTTTTTTTTTACATTTTGCTTCATGTTTGTCACTTTTCTTCTCTTCTCTAACACCTATCCACTTCTTTCGATCCTGTTGAGATTAATCTCATTGCCTGTTAATCGGTGAAAAGGGTTCAAAAATGCGAGAAAAAAAAAGTTGCTCCAAGCGGGAAGCTGTACTGTTTCGGAGCAATTTCAGTGCGCCAATAGGCCTTTCTTTGTTTTTATTTTTCTGAATATGCTGCGTTTCTCATTGAACTTGTACTTCAAAACCTTTTCAAGTTATGCATTCGCTCTGGGTACTCAAAATTTCAATACTGATGGTACTACTGAACGAAGGTTATGGATGTGCTCCAACGAAAGATCCAGAAGGTCGGTATTGTTTAGGCTTATGTTTTTATTGTCAAACAAAATGAAAATCGTTTTGAAGTCGATCGGTAAAGTGTTAGGATTGTTTTTTACTCGAATTTTTCTCCTATCGGCAAAGGGAAAATTAAAATTGGAAAATAAACAGCCAAACTCTACTTAAATTGTGCAAAGTGCAGTGCCTATGCCAGCATTCTGCAAAAAAAGTTGCATGCATTCTGCAAATCAGAGCTCTGCATTTTGCCCAGAAGATCCTCGCATTTTGCATTTCTTATTGGGCTCACTTTTGTACAGACGAAAAAAAGTGCAAAATGCGAAGTACTTCTGTGCAAAATGCAAAGCACTGATTTGCAAAATGCAAGAAGCTTTGTTTTGCAGAATGCCGGCATAGGAACTGCCTTTTGCGAAAATTCTGTAGAGAAGAAGCAGACAAAGAGAACCGATTTCCGCATAAAAAAATAGGTTTTCAATTTTTTTCTAGATATTTTCTATTTTAAAAATTATCTACTTCAAGAAAAAAATTAGATACATCATATTATTTTACTTAAAAAAATTAACATTTTTTTCGATTCTAGAAACTTCGACGCCATTCGACGTCTCCTCCACGACACCGGATGATTTCTCATCGACGTTATCGTTTGGAAGCACAACGGCATTTGGAATCTCCTCAACAACTGAGGATCCTTCTTCGTCGACGGTGCCCATACCAACTACAACTGTATAAATATCACATTTTAATGAGGTAGTTATCACAGGGACAGAAAATGAAATTGGGCTTTGAAAAAAAATCTCGGAAAAAACCATTTTTGTACGGTTTTTAGTCTTGGCTTATTCTCGGTATATTTTTGGTACTAGAGACAGAAAAAAATTAGACTACTAGTCTAGAAAAAGACTACAAGGAGCTTTTTTTGTCGTTCAATGAAGCATGAAAAAAAGTTTTCTAAGATTTTTCAACGCGAAGAGCTATTTTTTTCAAGCCATGAAAAAAAAAACCGTGTCATCAAAGTGTTCAAATTAACATTATTCATGTAAAAAAATGAAACCAGAAAAACTTTCGCCGTTGCCAATAAAAAGAAGTGAAAAAGTATAGGAGAAGAAAAGAAATTTAAAAGAATATTTTTCGACAAGAAGTATGAGGACCAATTTACGAAAAAAATCCCAAACTTTGGAGAATTTTCCAAGTCAAATTAGTTATTATAGAACAAAATATTTTTGCTTGAAATTTTTGATTCACTGAGTTGATCAATGTTTTAACACTGCCTGATCGACCGCTTTTCTCCTTTTCTGTAGGAAGACTTCCAAGCGCCAAAGGTCACGATGTTCGAGAACGTCTTGCAAAAACATGTTCCCATTTTTCCGACATGTGACAGATTATCTCGATTCTTGATTGTGGAAATTATTCAATAATCATTCCGATCCATGAATCATACTTCTTCAAGCTATACAGGCCCAATTAATCAAGGGTCGGTTTTAAAAAACATTTAAAGACGTTGTCAAAACTCAAATTTGGAAACAAATATTTCTCCAAGAATCATCCAACCAAAGATCCCACTGTTTATGATCGACTTGAAGAGAAATTTTACCGCTTTCTATGCGATTCTCTTCCTTCTATCGAGACCGAAAAAGATTTACATTCCTTCCCTTTTTTCTCTGTAACATTCACAATCTTCCTTCAAAAACAAAACTTGAAGAAAAACTTCCATTTGTAGTTTTCCATTGATTTTCTATGAAAAAAAAAAATGTGAAAAAGCCAAAAAATTATCCAAAAAAATTTTAATCTTTGAATAATTCAAGTCTCAAGTGGAGTGAATTCGAAAAAAAGCTGCTATTAGATAGTCTGTATTTATCATTTCAAAAAGTAGGTCGAAGTTTCAAAAATCCAAATTTTTTTCAAATACACCTTGATTCTATCAAGTACTCCTGCCCTATGTGTTATATCAAAACAAGGAAAAATCTGGTTTTCTCCTTGTTTTTTTATGTTCTAATAATTAAAAAAAGGGTCGTGAAAGAAACTATAAAGAATATCCTATAATTAGTTATCGATATTAAAAAAATACTTTGATCAGGTAGAACGAAATAAAAACTGAAAAAGCAATATTTAATAAAATCTTCATAATTAAAAAAATTGAAAAAAATTGAAAAACTAATTCAAAAAAATAAACCTAAACCTGAACCCCAGTTTTTTTAATTTATCTAATTATTTGAATAAACTTTCTACTTTTTCCTCAGCGACATTGCATAATTGAACTTTGGCTTTTCCTCATTTCACTTGAAAAATTCAATTTCGTGAATGATAAAAATCAAAACAAAAACACAATGACGAAGCGCGCAATCACTAAACTTTCACGCTGATTCGTCGAACGATTTCTGCGACTTCCGCAAAAAGCGATAAAAAATCGCCTCAACCAGCCACCCTATCACTTGACATCACACACAGGCGAAATCGCAACATTTCGACGCCTACGTGACTTTTTCTATGTGATTCTGCAGAGGGGCCAGAGATTTATAACACAAAAAAGGTATCTTCGACAAGAAATGTCTCGACTTCAGAAACAGTCTTTGGTCTTACTTTTAGGTTATATTTTGTTCGAGAAGACCTTGCTGGGGCGTTCAAGGGAACAGAGACCAATTCAAGCAAGATTTCGAGGCGAAAAACAGTTTTCAACAAATTTCGAGTCATTCAAGACTTATGCGCCTTTAAACACTCCAGCAAGGATTTCATGAACAAAATATATATTAAAAACGAACCAGAAACAACGCCGGCGCTGAAATGAACTCCTCGTTCGAATGGAGTGACGCTGGCCACATCCTGAACTAAGTTTGATAACTTCCAAATAAAAAATGAGCGGATCGAAAAAGAGAAAAAAAATACACCAAGTTTTTGCTAACTTAAGAAGCTATAAGACGTACAGAATAAAGTAAAGAACCTTCAATAACTTTTAAATCAAGTAAAAATCAAATTTTGACTTTTAAAAAAAATTATGATAAAAATAGACTTATTTTTTAGTTCGAACTCCCCAGAATAAAAGTATTAATACCGTTAAAAGAGAGAAGGATTTGATATATGAATTTTCTATCCATTTGAAGATTGAAATATCAAATTCATTTTTAAAAACAGCCGAAAAAAAAAAGTAAAATTGAAAAAATTGAAAAAATTTCATCAGCCTTTCACGCAACTTATGCCAATGCACACGCGAAGGCGCGCATGAGGTTACACCATTTTTATTGTTTTGTAATTTTGTAATTTTTTTTTTTGTAAACCTTGTGTGAATGATCTGTCATCGAATCTAAACAGATATCGGAAGTCAGCCAGTACAAAATGACCATTTCTTTCACGCACCTTACGTCCTCATCAAAATAAAAAAAGAGGAAGTTTATTAACAACAAAAAAAGAAAGAAAAATATACAATCGATGAATCAAATACCAGTATACAAAAAACTCTCAAAGGAGAAAACGTTGGCAAACATGATAAATAATTAAAGAAACTGAATAAAGCAATTATTAGGACCAATTTTTGGCAATTCAAATTTCCCGAGGATTCGTAACATAAGACAGGAAGGTGAGATGAGAATTTCACAAGAAAATGAAGGCAAGAAATGAAAATTCTATGAACTGAAATCGGAGAATTGTTGTTTGTGATTGAGGACAGATCAATTAGAGCTCGCAGTAACCCGAATCACGGTGTGAGGGGTCAAAAAAAATACAGAGTGGGGGGTTTAAATTTAAACATAATTGAAGGAAAAAAAACCCATAGTTTTGATTGAAAATACGAAAACTGTAGAAGATCAATCAAGAGATTGCTCAAAGCCCATGGCATTTTGTGAAGTTTTACATGGAAAGAACGGTATCGGTGCCAAGGAAACTGGCGGTTCGGCTGGCGATCGAAGCGCTGTCGATGTCGTGCAACGTCCATTCGCCACCGCGTCCCTGGAAATCGAACCGAATTGAAAAAGCCCTGCCTTCCTCGATAGTATACAGTGAGAGCTTGTCACTTTTTCGAACGGAAAAGAAGGGCAAGAAAAACTACAGTATACAGAGTATTTTGCGCGCTTCTCTTCAAGACCTGTATTCTTAAGGAACTTCATATTTTTGCTAGAAAAAAAAACGAAAAAAACAGGCGCGAATAATGAAAAAGACCTGTTGAATTAATTTTTTCAAGGAAGTATGACATTCGCTATGGTGAACTTGAAACGTAAGTAACTAAAAAGTCCAAGATTTTTTTTTAATTGTTAAGTGATTTTTTCAGTTTCTCAGTTCTTCGAAAAAAATCTCAACTTCATCTGGAGACCACAAGTTCCTCAAGTGTTTCAAAAGTCTCGAATATCTCATTTTCCATATTGAAACAACTGAAAACTGTTTGAAAATGTGAAATTGCAATTTTTAGCTCAAAATTCGAACTTTACTGTCTTTTAAAAATTATTTTCTACCTAAAAAAAGTAAGTTGCCCTCCGACCACAGATTTAAAAAAATAGATTGATACACATTAACATGAAAAATATCTGCTCAGGACAAAATTTTCGAAAAAAAGCTACCTTCAATCGGAGTTCCATGTCGTGGAACTGTTTCAACGAGTACCGGTGTCCGATGGAAACAAATGTAATTTTCTCCTGAACGGCAAGTTATTATTTTGGATAGAAACAGGCAGGGAAACCTCTTGGAGTTTCTTGTAGATGTGCATTTCCATGTCGAAGCCCATGGCGCTGGTCGATTCATCGAGGAAAACGATCCGAGGATGGGTGTAGAAAACGCGCGCCAAGGATAACCGTTGCAGTTCTCCCGGCGAGAGTTGCTTCATCCTGGAAATTGGGTAAGACTTGGAAGGGATAGTCAAAGAACATGAAATCTTATCTTACTATTCCCGTGAAGATTTTGAGCGCGTTTTAAAATTTTTACATCGTGTTATAAACGTGAAAACAATGAACAAAAAGGTGGTGGAAGTGAAGATGTTACTTTGAAAGGTGCAAACAATTGGAATAGAAAACATACCAATCCCAATCGACCGGATTATCAAAGCCTCCACATCGGTCGATCAAATACTCAAGGCGGACAATTCCCAGAATCGATGCCAACCGAGCAACGTCTGGAAAAACGCTTACTCACAAATTTTTTTGAGGTTATATTAAATTTATTTTTAAACGACAATCTTCAAAAATCATCTAGCCGCGATAACTCGACTGGAACCAAATGGTAAACTTTTTTCAACTTCTTTGAATTCAGCATGTCCGAAAGTACCTAAATACACAGTTTCTTCAAATTTTGATACCTCCACCTTTTGAACTTCCCGTGTAAACATTCAAACTTAATGTAAATTGCCGATTTTTCAGGAAAGCAATTGAAATTTCTGAACCTTTCTCAACGGCCAGAGCTTTGATGGGATAGACGATTTGCTGTCGCAAAGTGACGCCCCCCGAAGGAAAGTAAGGCTTCTGGGGCAGGAACAGCAAGTTTTGGGTCCGTCGGCGCCAATGACAATCGACTTTTCCTGTAAAAACCATGTGATTTGCTTGAAATCTCTCCACTCTGGTAAATATTTTACTATTTACAAATGTTTTTGAATAATTTGAAACCAACTTTTTCACGAAAAAACTCTTATAACATATTCAACATATAAGGAGAGAAAATGTTTCTAAAACCCTCTGTTCATATTTAAAAACCTTGGCTTTAGAAGACAGAAATTCCCTTTGCGAGTTCATAAAACGAAAATTTGTTTCTTACGGCTTTCAAAGACCTTTTTGCTCATTCTTCTATAGAAATTAAACAAATAATGACTACTCAACAGCCCTAAGAAGATAAATAACACTTTTTTTTAAAAGCTCAAAAACGAAAAAAAGAAAAAAAAATTCTATAGAAATAACATCATGCTCCAATAATTTAAATGTGTGATAACTGAAAAATGACTATTGTTCAAAAAAATATTACCAGCGGTGCAGTGCCAAAAGGCCAGCGAACATTCGGAACAACGACGTTTTTCCACATCCACTTTCTCCAGTGATCAACAAGCTCTGGCCTTGGATCAGTTGCAGGGAAAGTACTGAAAATAAAGAAGTAAGATCACGCTTCTATTGATCTTCTTCTAGAATATTCTATCATTTTCTAGACTTTTACTGTTATATTATAGGTCATTTCTCAGATAATTCCTCACATTGAACGATAATATTGGGGGTCTCATTAGGTGGCGCCAAACTGGCCGAATCGATGGTCAAGGCGACGCCGTCATCCGGCCATTCTTCGTCCGAATTTCGGCCTCCCAACAAATATTGAGCTTCTTCTTCTTCCTGTTCGTCACGTTCGAGTGACAACTGCTTTCCATGGATCTCTTCGACCTGAAAATTATCGAATCAATAAGATTTACATCAAAATAATATCTCTATAGCCTCTCTTTCTAAAATTTCTGCTCTTTCGCACAACAGATCCTTCATGAAAAAAAATAAACAGTTCTCAACTAAAGATCATTTTTCCTTTTGTGGATATTATATAACTTTGAGTGTCGTATTAGCAAACCTTTTTTCCAGAATTCTTCCCCCCTAAAACATACCGCTCTAAGTTCTCCCTAGCAACAAGATCTAGCGTACCTCAAAAAATTCCTATCGAAACTGGTAAAGATCTAGGAAAAAACAGCAAAAACAAACAGTTTCAATCCTAACATTACTCATTTATTTTGAGAACCGTATCTTTCATCCAAATCTTTTTTCGTTTTATACGATTCAAACTGTTGTAATGGTGTAAAAATAACCACTCCTACGTTTTTCCTATGAAAAAAAAGATCATAAATGAGCCAAATGTATTGAAATTTGATGATAATGGAATTGAAATTTTGAGGATAAGGTCTTCGAAAAAAGGTATATTATACTTCCGGCTACTATTAAGTGATTAGAGAATTTCGACGAAAATGTCATTGAAAATCTCAAAACATGATTTAAAAGGGAGATATTTCTCTAGTGTTCCAATGCGGCAGAATACGAAAAAATGGCTCCACTAGATTATTATAGTACAGCTGATTCACGACTGGCTTAAGCCATCGAATAAAGGGTCCTGACTGGATAAAAGAGACAGTGCCTGAACAGTGGAGAGCGCAGACAGACTACGTCTTTTTGGACTTTCATGCTAGCCGTGAATCGGAAACTGTTTTCCCTTTCAAGTTCTCCTGACCGTTCTGGAAGCCTTGTCCTCGTCGTCCGAGGCGATGACGACGACAGAAGAAGGGACTGTGGAAGGAGGTCGATCAGTCTCCAAACAGTCCGAATGGAGACGTTGCAGCTCTTCGTACAGTTCAATCACACTGAAATTCGATTTTTTTAAAAAAAAAATGGGATTATAATTGACGTTTCGAACTTTAATCCATGAGAACTAACCGATGCGTGACGCCGGCCAGTTCTCCAAAGTTCTCGGCGAGCTTTAAAACAGTCGAGAAGCTGTAGATCAGGTACAGGTAGTAGAACGAGTTCTAAAAAATTGAATTTTGAAATTAGATTTTCATCAATTTAAACTGTTCATGAGAAACATTATTTCAAAATCATGAGCCTTCCTTTACTCTGAACAAATTGATCTTTTCCCTCCTTCAACATCTCATCTTTTTTTGTGAGAAACCCTTTCAATTCCTTAAAAATAAAATCAGGAAGATCATTTCTCCTCACTCAAATCATTCTCAAAATCGAAAAAACCAACTATTTTCCGCTCAATTTCCAAAATAATCTTCTTATTTTTCGGAGAAAACCCCTCCTAATCCCAGAAATAAAATCAAGAAGCTCCTTTTTCGCATATCGCAATTAGTCGGGGAGATTGGATGCAAATGCGAAAGACCCCTCGTCAGTGTGTATAATCCAATAAGCACTACTGCCGCATAGGCGAATCGGTCACGTATTTTTCAAGAAGAGAAGAGACCAAGGAATCATTTCAGAAAAATAAATAAATAATTCATCCTGAGAACTTGAAGACCTGAATTTCGAATGAATATGAAGCATTATCAGCGCAAAGAAAAAATTTATTAGAATGGAATTGAGGACAACTATGAAGCTTTCTTGGAGGAAACTGTATTGTGAAAAAAACAATTTCTATCGATGAGATTTATTATTTTTGCGACTATTATGAAAAAAATATATAATATCTTTCAAAAGTGTTCGATTCTCAGATTTTTGCTTTTCGCATAAATAAATCCTGTGAAAAAAAGCATTTATATTTATTTGTTCAATCAAAAAAATTTCAATTGAAACAAAAAAATGATAAGTTCTGTAAAAAAATTGATATCCTACCGATAATGAGAGGTATTCTCTGATAGCTGACGTCTTTGAAAAACCCAATTTTCCATTTTTAAAGCTTAATTTTTCTATTCCGATCGAAATCAGCCACTTCTTAAAAAAATCCCCAAAAAATAATAAATTTAATTTAAATTGTTTATTTTTTTAAAACCAGGAAGCTGATTTCATGCGATTCAGTCAATTTGTCCCGTTTTTTCTCAGATACTTTCTTGAAAACCCCCTGTAATTCTGTCTCCTGTCAGAACAGACGTCCCATATGTCCTATCTAGAAATTTACGAGATTCAAGGACCCCATATAGAGAAAGAGGCCGTTCCACAGCTGTCCTCCACATTATTCACTTTTACGGCGTGCGCCAAAGCCAGAGAGCCCCGTATTTAATGGTCCCCGTCCTTTTGTAGTTCTTTTTTTCGTGTTCTACAACGACATGGGACTTCGAAAAAGAAAAATGTAGAGCAGCTGTCGTTCAAATCGTCAAACTTTTTCAGGTTTCCATTATTTGTGATGTTTTCTAAAAGACCAAGGGTGTTGCTGAGTCATTGTGGTCACTAGAAAAAAAATATCGAAATGAGAAAATTTTCAGGTAGTCGAGAAATGAATAGAACACACCTTGAATAAAATTCATTTTACTTCAACTTCTGAGCTTCGAAAAATAGCTCGGTATCCTTCAGTTAATTCGAAAAATTGCTCCAGGGAGCTTTGAACAGAAAAATATATTCTTTCGTGTAATATAATTAAAATGCGCCAATTTTTCATTATTTTTTTATGTAAATTAATTTAATAACGTTGAAAAAAACAAAAAGCTTGAAATCATTTTGTTCATCTTCAATTTTTTTGCCAGAAAAATTGTCCGACAGAATTTCGAGAAAAATCAAAAATCGTAAAAAAATTTCGTTTGAAGAAAAAAACATAAATTGCTTCGAAACGCAAAAAAATTGCTTGAAAACAAAAAAATTAGTACTATTTGAAGCAACTTTGGCGCGCCGACGATTTTTCGTTTTGAAGCATGCTCCGTTTCTCCGATGAACACGCCACTAGTTTCGAAGAAATCAAACTCCACACCGTTCCCGTGCAAAAAACCCCCAATATAATGGCAAAAAGCGAACATTTCCTGTGACACACATTTCCTTCCCGCTATTGTCCAATGGCCCCCGCCATTCATCAGTGTCAATCGCATATCCGACCCGACCAAACGGCTCTTATTAGTCTCTTCAAATGAGATTATCCTTGGCATTTGACTTCTTTCCTTCTTTTAATTCAAAAGAAAGGATCCCGGGGTGAAAAAAGGAGAAGAGATTTGGCCGCATCCAATCAGAGAAAGTCTTTTTTCCATTGGAGAAGAGGCTGCTCACAAGTTCATTGTTGACGATTCTTCTTCAGAGAAAATCTCCCTCGAGGGCATTAAATTTCGAGAAAAAAGGCCGTGTTCTTGCAGAAAACTTCGCGAAAAAACAGTATGGCCAAGAATTTTCGATCTTTTGAAAGATTTAGGACTTGAAACTTGATGATAAGATTACGTTTTTCTCAGTAAAAATCGGAAAAAAAACTTGCTTGATAGAAATAATATCTTTGTTTTTTGGAGCAGAGACAGACTTTCAGCACCCTGTGATATTTGAACTTTTCAGAGTAAATAAACTTTCTTGCACATTGAATAACAAAAAGCAGCCAATTGAAACGTTCTATTTCTTAAATTTCCAAACAAAAAAGAAATTTTTTCAGCCAAATAGAATCTTTCCTCCTTTTCCCGTTATCAATTTCAGAAAAATCTTGAAAAAACGATTTTCGATCTCTTTTTGAGCCAAATTTTTCCCAGGGTTTCCCCCTTTTTTACCCAAACCAATTCAAAATGTTTATTTGGAACCTTTTTCCAACATGCCCGATGGCATTTTTCCTATAAACATAGAAAAAAATTGGATGAGCTGTCTTTCCCATGGGGATCAAATTTCAGTCAAACCAAACAGTTGTCTCTATTATTCTCTTTTGTCAGAAAAAAAGTGAAAAAGTGAATCAAAAAGTTATAGTAGAATCCATAAAGAAGACCCTCATTTTCTTTTTCTCAGAGTGAAACGAAGCCTCGAAATCCCCAAAATCTCTTAATTACCCCATCGAACGCCACTTCATACATCAATCGAAGGCGTGAAAGAAAGAAAAATCCAAGGCCAAAAGGACAGACAGATGTTCTACGGCCGGGCCAGTCATCTCATCTTAGAAATACTCCCCTTAAATGGAAGTTTACGGTTCTTGAATGTTCCGGTTGTTCTGACTTAAAAGTGTTCTTTGTGAGTAAGACTCTTATTTTGAGGGATAGGACCGAAATAAGTCATTTATGAGAAAATTTTGCTTAGAGCTTAGGCCCATATTTCCCAGCCTTATCGTAATAAAAATAATGGAAAATATTCTGAGACCAAAAGAAAAAGTATGAAACGGGAAAAATTCAAGAAAGACTCGGACATTGGTAACGCAAACTGGACGCGTTTCGGAAATTTCTGAACTCTTCTAGTGATCCTTTAAGAGTTCTGAAGCCGCTAAAGTGATCACTAAAAGTAATCAAACTATACGACGTCCTTTCTTTCCATTCAACCATCTCCTGATTGAATTACAATCATCTCCTTTAAAGACCTCAACTTTGACCCTCCCAAAGGTCCACCTTTGCCGACGAATGTTTTCACTTGGTCAGTCACAGATTCAGTGATGCAGAGGCAAGGCAAATAGGCAAACACTCGCAGGATAAACCCATAAACGGTGGAAACGGACCCCGTTTTCTGCAAACCTTTACGGCTCCGAGGAGAGAGACCCACGCAACTCTTTCTATTTGTTCAAATGTCCACACTCCCATACGGACGTGTGTTCTGTTCGAATCTCTCAACGACAGATGGAACACTGATATCGGACAAAACATAAGAAAAACACTTTTAGTGGACTCCTTATCTTTTGGATCTTTTTTTAATATCCTAGTCTTATTTTCCAACAGAATTTACCAGTTTATGACTCAATTTTCAAAACATCTTCTCTCAAATAAAACTGTACTGACGCGTTGCGGCTGCGCAGCGGTTTTTCTTTAAAATACCTGACGGCTTGCGGGAGAGCCTTCTCAAGCAATAGAGCACTTTCTAAACACAACCGCGAAGCTCGAGTCATTCCAAATGCGACCGAGATCAGCATTAATCCCTCAATAAGGTTTTTTCGAAATCCCCAAACTTTCGCCAAGCCCTTCCGAAACCCCAAAATTTCCCGTTGCAACTACTACGAATTTTCTAATCTCACTCCCAAATCTTCTACAAGGATTGCGTGTCGCTTGAGCATCCAAAAACCGAGAACCGAAATCCCGAATTTCTTGGAAGAAGCCAAAATTTTCGGCTTTGATTCATGTTTCTTCAGTACAACACTTGCAAGAGAAGCGAATTGAATATTTGTTCAGGCCTCATTGATGAATGCAACCATCATAATTGTTCATTCGTTTGCAGAAAGACGGAAGAATTCCTTCTTTTTTTCGTTGTTTAATTAAAATAGGAAAAGGAAGCAATGAAAAACCAGGAAGTTTGATATCGCGTTTCGTTCAGATATGACCCACGAAACCGAAAAAAACCCAAATTTTTAAAAATTTTTCTGCAGATGTTAAAAATTTAAAATTTACATATTTCTTTCTTCACTGAAATTCCATTTTTCACTTTCTACTTTGCTCATTACTATCTCATATTAGGGTAAAAGGCGAAAATATATAGTTGAATATCCCAAAAACTTCTCAAAACTCGAAATTCATCAGATTCTCACGGACCTTCTGAAAAATTCTACTCCCAACTCTCCTAAAATACTTATTTTCACCTCAGCGATCACGAGAGTTTTTTTGGATTGGAATTTTCAATGAGAATAGCCACGAGGTCCAACTTCCTGGGTTACAAAACAATCTTCTTTTGCAGAATTTGAAGGCAACTTTCGAGGTCCACTTTGGGGCGGAAAAATGGAATTCGGATTTTCTGACTCATTCTCATAGAAATTTATCAAAACTGTTCACAAAAAAAATTTTTCAAAAAAATCGAATGTTCTTTATTTTAACCCATTTTTACGCAATAAAAAATATATTTTTCAGTCAATCCTTTCCCTAAATTTCCCAAAAATCATCTTCTTGGTTCTGGCCTGAAAATAGAACATGTTTATACTACGGAGCAACATGAGAAGAGAATCTCCGGCTATGTTTATTATAAATAAGCCTTGACGAAGGCAATTTGTGTGGTGAGGTACAAGCTCACAATTACCGACTAAATATATATACTTTAGTCATATTTCTTCCGAGAAAAAAAATTATAAGGTTCTTATTTCTCCGTTGGCAGTGAGTCGGAAGATAAATGAGGGATTTTTTCATAAAGTAATTCAATTTTTGATCTGAAAGCTTGAAAGACCCGAAAATTCACAGCAAATTGCAAACCAGTGAAGACCGCTATCGAAAAAATCTTTAAAACTATCGATAGGGCGCAAAAGTCGGACGGCTATCTTTTCTCACGCCTCAAACCATCAATTAGCCTTTTCCTATCACATCTTATGAACAGGACTTCAAAAAATACTCCGAATTATTAATCTCCGAAAAATGACCGACGATTATTTCTTTCAATGCCTCAAAACTATCGAAACCACAACCAAAAGTGCTTATTTTGCCTTTTCCCGTCATTCAAAACGAGAAAAACACTCGATATCAAGAAGAAAAAGCGCTGCAGCGGTGGTCAAAACTTTGCGGCTACGCGGAGCAAAACAATGCGATTTCCTTCGTCCATTCTTCTTTCTTCTTTCTCACTATACAACAGCGTAAATTCCCGCCGAAAGGGAGAACTACACCTACACTTCAAGGGCGGCCAAGTGTACTAATATTTCAGTTTGAGCTATGGAAATATAGAAAAAAAAAAGTCGATTTTGGCAGTGAAAAACTGATAAAAAATGATCAAAGTCCGACTTTCTTCATTATTCTTTTGCTCTACTCGGGACCTAGTTATGGATTTCCTAAAAAGACGTGTAAAAAATGGTGATAACTTGTAATCGAGTTATTTGAAAAATTAAAAGCCAAATTTTTAAATTTTCTCTATAGAGCGTGCTTTCCCTTCTCGAATTACTACGTCGATCCTTTCCATAACCCTCATCGTCATCAAACCAAAAAATGTTGCAATTCTTCTTTTTCACAGAAAAAGATAAGAAGCGAAGAAAAGTTTCCATGTGGGAAAAGACACGCGATCGGCGTTCTTTGAGTTCTTGGAGAAGAAAAAGGAGAAGAAATATGATAAAGTCCAGACAAATCGAGAAAAAAAAGGGTTACGGTTACCAGAGATCGCTCATTTCTTCTATCGATTCTGTTGATTCAAAGCTTATCGATTAAAACTTAAAAAAGTAAAAACTTAGTTAAAGCAGTTACAAAACGGTTGAATTTTTCAAATAAATTCACAAAAAAATCTTTTCCAAAACGTTTTATATTCATCTTGAATATCACCAAATACCTTGAAAAATCTGAAAAAAACGAAAAATCATTATAAAAATAAAAAAATGTTGTTCAGTTCCTCGAAACAGCGAAAAATTTGTAACTCATAAGGTTCAATGTTAGAAATACGAAAAAACGATTTTTAAAAAAATTATCACCAGCTTCAAAATCGAAATTCCAAGTAAAAGTGAACCCAAAACCCTAATTTTAGAAGGATCCATTCAAAAAGGCTGTAAAATTCAAACAAAAAGCTCCTTTTGGGAAGAGATTCACAAAAAAACCGATGAAAGAACCACAAAAAGATCTAGAAACAACTCTAACACTGAAAAATTGTTTCTTTTTCAGATTACATATATTTCCAGCCTTTTTGAATATAAAAGTCATGATGAGGAGAGGAGCATCGAAAAACTTTTAAAAAACTAACCCTTGAAACGACACCATTGAGCTCCGGACCGGACATGTGATCGTATTGATGAGTGATGAAAACGGGGATTCCAATGATCAAGTAGGATAAAATCCCGCCAAAGTAATCGAAAATATTGGTCATGAACCCGAGGGCGAACCGCCATTCAGTCAGCTTCTTCTGCAAACATTTTTTTGTTGATTTTGGCTCGAAAAAACGTGGTAGAAATTGAAAAAAACGTTTGTTTGGCAAAGGTTCTGTTTCAAATGCTAACAAGTTCCGGCTAGTACACAAAAAACTCGAAAAATGATAAATTTAGAACAAAATAACAGTGTGATAAACTTCGAAGCGGAAAAATTGGTATTAAAACTGAAAAATAAAGGTCGGACTCTCATTGAAAAAAATTTGGAAAATGAAATTTTTTTGTTCATCTATCCGAAATTGCTACAAAAAGTTCATAACCTGAAAAACTTGTAATATAACCTCGAAAAACATCTTTAAAAACGGAATTTCATGAAAAACTGATAAAAATTCGAAGTTTTTGAACCTTCTGAAGTTTCTAAATAGTTTAAGTTTTCGAGAAAAAGTATGAAAAAGCTGCAAAGGAAGCAAACTTTGAGAAATACAAGTAATTCAACGTGTTGCGAAAAAAATATCATCACTAGAAGAGAGCTTTTCGACGAAAATCCCATGAAAATTAGACAGAAAATCAAAAATATATATATTATGGCATACAGGCTGAGAAAAATGCAAATAAAAAGAGTCTAAAATGAGATTAACAAACTTCGAGGGAAATACAAAAAGAAAATGATCAGAATTCACTCGTTCAAACTAGATTTCATGAATATTAACCAATTTTCTACATTACTTCTAACCTGAACTCCAATTAATGATTTTGAGCTTCTGATTGGCCATGACGTTTTTTCCAAAACTCCGGCTCGGTAAAAGCGATCGCCTCGATATTTGAACGAACTTCCATGTGTCTTTGCCTGAAAATTTATATTTTTGATTTATTTTTGAATTAAAAATCAACCTAAAATCGCCTTCTTTTTTCTCCTGTTCCGAAACAAGGCTGACCATCGGCGAGAGCATGAATTTGTTGGCAACCGTTTGAATTATGAAATATACGAAGATTGACGCGATCCCGAACCAGCCGGAACTGAAATCATAACAAAAATTAAATTAACGAAAAATCAAGGAAAACTCACCCATCATACGTTAAATAGGAGTAATAACCAATGATAAAAGGTGCCGTCAAAACAGGGGCCAAAAGATCGCAAGAAAGCAATCGCGTCGTTTTTTCAATGTCCTGAGTCATCCGTTGGTCTCTACAAGAAAAATTCAATTCTTTTTTCGATAATTTTTTTTCTTACGGGTTATCGTAGGCATTGGATGAAGAACTGAGCTTGAAAAACGCTTGGCGCTTGAAATACAGCCGATGGAGTGTCAAATTGCACAATTCACGACATTTTATCGACAAAAACGACGTCATGAATTTAACAAGGGCTAAGGACTGAAAAACATCTTATATAAAAAATTTGAGCTATTAGACTCACAAAAGCTTTGCCGATGATGATCAGCGATCCTTTGGCGCATAAAAACTTAAAGCTGGTTTCATCTTTATTACCCAAGGCTACATAGAATAAACTGGGCATTATGCCAACAAGATAGGTCATCACTTGGTCTGTAAGTCAATTTTTTATTAATTGTTTATTTTCTATTCAAAATTTACCTGCTCCACAAAAAAGGACAACAAAGAAGGCGAACCATGTCGTCGTTGAGCGGCGATTAAAAGGGAATAATATTTTAATAAGGGTGCCTAACCGGCGAAAAAATAATAAATCCAAGGCCAATTTGGCCATTTACTCAAGTGAGCCTGAAAATAATTAATTTTTCAGGGAATTGCGACGATTTAGAACAAAAGTAAAAGTAAAACGAAACGTTATTTCGATCAAGCGGCTTATTGCTGATCGAGGCGGTGCATTGGCAAGTGCAACTGGATTCGCGTCCGCACCAACCACCACGCCCACTTTTTTGACGAGCCCATGCAAAGAAATGAGAAGAGAAAAGCATGACGAGAGAAGAGAGAAAGAGGAAGCAAATGAGGCGATTCTTCCCGACGACGCTCCAATTGACGAGGACGCGGATCGAGATTCAAACTTTGGTGGTTTGCCAGACCTAGTGGAACTTAACTTGAAAACACAAGTAGGAGAAATATCTCAAGCTAAACGATAGGGAACTGAGAAAAGTTATTAGAAATGTAGAAAATTAGACCTGGAGGCACTGCGAATACTGCTACCTTATTTAATACTTTTAATAGTGCCTTGAATGACCCAGTCGAGCTATGATAAAGCACTACTCCAGCCATAAAGAAGGATGAGAGCAAAAATTTGATAGTTTTTCAGACTTTCGACTGTTCATTTTCAAAGAAAGCTTTTCTCTCGGAGAGCCTATAGGGTTTGTTATATAAACTCTCTTGTTTCCAAAGTACTTTTACCCAGCCTATAAGCCATCACCAAAGTTTGACTCGAGTCCTTGGATGCGAGTTCGCGTAGTTCTCTAGGTCAGCTCAAAGCCAATTTTCGAGTCCTTATCGTAAGGTCTTATCCGGTTAGAAGATATTAGAATGAGTCTTGCCAATTCTTTTCTGTGTCAGTGACTCCAAAATTTTTGAGAAACTAATGTGTGCCTCTTTGTGACAGTACACACCAGTTTTGCCTACTGACTTTTTGGCCGTTCTGCTCAAAAACAAAAACTGATTTCTGACCATCTGCGTACCGCAGTCAATTTGAGTGCCACTACAGTTTTCGAGCGGCAGTTCAGTTCCATGTTGTTTCGATTAAATCCCTGCCAGGCTTTGCCATAATTGTGAGTTCGAGTCTTTATTGACTATAGATCAATTGGCTTATATTCGACAGCTCCTTCATTTTTGATCGCAGTAACAATTCATCACCCTGTGTAAATTTTCTTCAGAAATATTTTGTGACCTCAGCTGATCACTTTTTCGATTTGTGGCTTCACATATTTCCCTTTTATAATGCTAGTTTGTCCATATTTTGGAGTTTCAAGCAGCGATCTCTGCAGACAGAAGCCTGTGGGTGGCACGAAATCTCTCTGATTGCTTTGATCCTGCACATAAGAGCCCAGGAGTTCGACCGATGACTTGATATTCAGATTCTGAACAAAGGCTATAAACGCACGACTTTGAGACTTTCTTCAGGAAGAATAACATTACAAAATTTACACATTATCACGTGGAAGGGTAAATCAGAGTCTGACCAGTCTAGTGACACGTCATAGTATTATTATTGAAAAGATGAATGCTGAAAAATCAGTTATATAAACTTCAAATAATCCGAAAGGACAAGATTTGATAACCGTGCGCATTTTCCTGTTGTTAGAAAGAGCGCAATTTCTGTACAAAATTTGAAAAAAAGAGGGCGCATTTTCCTTACGTGCGCACGAGAAAGAGTGCGCGACAGCGCACTTTCCAAAGCATGCCTTTTAAAATTAGTTTTTTTCTGTGCTTTAACACTACTCTGAAGCTCAAAATATTGTCATGAAGCTTTGAGAGCTGTTAATGCTGATAATGCAATGAACGTTTTTGGAAAAGAAAATGGGAAGAATGGAGGCTCAAGTTTCAAAAAATGTTTTTTTGATTAAGATTTTATGTTTTCTAGTCCATGTTTCACTCGAGTTATAAATTTTTTTGGTAATAGCGCTCTGGCTTGAACTAATTTTTTTCAAAAAAACATCTTTAAGTGACATTTTTCCAAGGGAAAAATGAAAATAGATTGAAAAATTTATTCGATTTTACCTTTTCAATTGAACCCAAATATTTCCAAACTTCATCGGGCTTTTATTTCGTTTCTATAGTAATTCCCGAGCTTGTATGATAGATGTATGATAGATTTCTAGATTTTCGATCCTGGTTCGGGCTGTGCATGATCTTCTAACATCTTAAAACTCAGTGACATGGTGAGTGAATTTTTTTTCGGGTGAAATCTCATTCAAAGTTTAGGATATTAGAAGTTTTTTTGGAAATGGTGGAGGATCAAAATCTTCATCAAACGCCCCATCTAGTTCCAAAAAAGAGCCAACACCGAAGAAACGGTCCAGCAAGAAAAAGGACGAAATCTTTGAGATTGAAGAACTTTGTGAGCTACTCATCGAAACTGTAAAAAAATTTAAATTATTGTTTCTTCAGCTGACGGCGAAGATCCACTTCCGAAATCAATGAGAGGTGCTCAAAGGAAGAGAAATAGGATAGTTGTAGAATCCGGTTTGAAAAGAAATAAATTTATGAAGAAATATTTTTTTAGACGGCTCAGACGACGGTTTTGTGCGGAAAACTTCGTCAAAACCGAAGGAAAATACGAAAAAGGAAAAAACTCCAGTGAAATCGGCGCCGAAAAAAGCGCGTGTCGTGATTTCTAGTGATAGCGATGTGACCCCAGTCAAGGAAAAGCCGAAAAATAAGTCGAAAAGATCTCCATCGCCCATCGAAATCGACGATGATGATGATATTGAGGTCCTAATAGACATGGCAGCAGGCTTGAGACAAAAATATTTTTTTTTGATCTTTTTAATTTCAATTTTCGAATTTTTAATAGGCTTTTTAAGTGAAAAAAATCTCTCAAATTCAACATTATCTTCAATATTTTTTTATTTTTTTACGATTATTTTTTTCCAAGCCAGCCTTGACCACATTAAAAAGTCTTTATCAGTTCAAACTGTTAATTTCAAGGTGCTGTCCGACGACGAAGAAGTTGAAAAACACGTTAAGGGCAAGCATAAGAAAAAGCTTCTTCCCGGTCAGAAAAGACTGGATTTTGAGAAAAACGCCCCGTCTACATCAGGAAAAGAAGGTTTTCACCTTACGCAACACGAATAAAAAAATGAATTTCAGCCCCGAAACCGCGCCAACAGTATAATTTCGTGAATCCTTCCGACTTTTTCCAAACCTCGGCTAAGAAATCTGAGAAAAAGACACAGGAAAAGGAAAAAGAAGCCGTGACAGAAGTGGCAAAGCAGCCGGAAAAGAGAAAAACGCCGACTCCAAAAACGGTATGAAATGGAGAGCGTAGTTGAACTTACGCTGATTCATAGGGGGTCCGGAAAATTTGATAATAATAGCAGAAAACATTATCAGAAAAAAAGTGAATAGAATTTTTTTCTAACAGTTTCAGTGATTTCTGAAAAAAAGTTAATAGCTCTGTTTTTCATCAAAAACAAAAAAATTAATTCATAAAAAAACAAATTTTTTTCAAAGTTATAACGGCAGTTTTTCCATGTTTCTCCGAAAAGCTCAGCGAAAAGTTTCGAAAAAGTTTTTTTCTCACTTTTCTTCCTTCATGAAATCCGTCTTGTGTTTTTGAATCATTTAATAAGCATCTTCGATCATATAATTGGTAGCATTTCAAAACATCATGGAGAAATTCCATCTTGAATTCTTTTCACCTTCAATCGGTATTTTTTTCCAGCCAACTCCTAAGAAAATCAGCCCATCGCAGAAGGAAAATATCGGCGACGATGAATTCTTCGATTCGGATGACGATTTCAATGCGCCGATCATCAAAAAAGTCTCCAAACTGCAGAGAAAACCCTAATCTCATTTTTTTTAGAAGAAAACCCCATCACCAAGGAAAGCTCCGGTAGTAGAAGAGAAGAAAAAGAAGGAAGAGGAAAAGACTAAAAATACTGAGAAGAGGAATCAAAAAGACACTTCAAAAAGTGAGAAAAGTTCAAGATTCAAAGAAAAGCTAAAGTTTTTCAGGTCCAGCGAAGAAGTTAGTTGAAGCGGCGAAGGTCCAGAAAGAAAGTTCCAAAAGTGAGAAAAATATGAAAATCCGGAAAAAAAAACCTTTTTCAGGTCCTTTGAAGAGATCTGATCGTCAGGAAAAGGTTCAGAAAGAATTGTCAAAAAGTGAGAAATAGAAAAATTCTGAAAAGGTCAATATTTTAGGCCCCGTGAAGAAACCAGTTGATATGGCTAGCAATAGTTCTGCTAACAGGCAACCTCCGAAGGTAAAAAAAACGCTTTGAAAACTTTTTATCGGTTTGAAATTGAAAATTGAGAATTATGAAAACTTGAAGTTTTATTTTGAAAAAGTTTATATTTTGTATTATTCTAGATGAATATTCTGAAATGATACAAATTTGGCCAAGTTTCGAACGAAATATGAAATAATTTCCATTATTTTTGAAGATCTTAATAAAAAGTTCCTTTTTTTAAATATCGGTCGAAAAAAAAATTTTTTTCACGACTTTTTGCAGGTGATCGATCCCAACGATCTTCCCTGGGTGGACAAGTACAAGCCGAAGTCGATAAGTCAGTTGGTTGGACAACACGGAGACAAAAGTCCATTGAACAAACTGTTGGATTGGCTCAACGACTGGGCAAAGTTGAACCTTGGAGAAGGAGCCAAGGTTAAGAGAGGTGTCTTTTTTTCGAATCAAGATAAATACCTGACTGAATCCAGAGAAAAAAATGTATGTGATTTATGAAAATGGAAAAGAAAAAAACAAAAAAACTTGTGGCTTTGTTTGAATATTATGAGGGAAAAAGTTATACTCGATTTTTCATAGTAATTTTTCTCTATTTCCTGTTTTTTTCAAACTTTCTCTTTTCTGTTGTTTGGAATTTTTTTCATCATTTTCGTGGAAAAAAAGGTGCTGATCTTTCCAAATTTCTTCATTTCGACGATTTCTCTTCATGAAGGTCGAATTTTAAAAAAATCAGAGAAATCTGTTCTTAAATGGAGTGAGATAGAATTTAATTTTAAACTTGCGTCAAAAATAACTCTTTTGAAGTGTTTTTCCATCTATAAAGGGACCATCTACATTTTTTTTAAAAAAATATTTTTTTGTCCTATTAGTATTTTTTTCTTGTTTAATTCTACCCATACATGGGCGAACCATTATTAATTCCGCCAATCCCTCCTCCCAAAGTTTTCCTAAATTAAAGAGGCTAAAATTTCTATTCTTGTGGCCAAAACTTCCTTTTTGAGGTTGAAACTCGGTTTTATTCCTAATTTTCAAAAATATTTGAAATACAACCCCATGGCCTGACTAACCAAAGCTCTGTACTGTCCCATCTATGGTTCTACCGTAATCTTCTTTCTGACACTTTCAGTAGTTTCTATCTCTCAAAAGTTCATCCAAAACCTTCAAATTTCAGCCAAGCCCGTCGCCTGGATGGCCCAGCAGGATGGCACGGCCTTCAAAGCCGTTTTATTGTCTGGAACTCCCGGTTTGAAGAGAAAAATGTTCAAATGGAGAGTTTTCACGAGATTTAGGCGTTGGAAAGACGACGTGTGCTTATATGGCCTGTGAATCGCTTGGACTGAAAGTTGTCGAAATGAACGCCTCGGACGTCCGGAGCAAGAAACATCTGGAGGCCAAGGTTTTGACGAAGAAAATATAGATTTCGAAATATATGCCTTTTTGAACTTTTTTGCTAGATTTTTAAAAACAATTCGAGTTCCAATTGAATATTGTAAAAAGTGAAAAATATTTGTTAAAATTATTTTTCGAAAGTCTTGTACCTTGAGAAGTTTTTTCAAAAAACTATTTTCGAACTTCATAATACAATTTTCTTCAATCAATTGTATCGAAATATTTAAATTTACAACGACTTTCTAGGTCGGTGAACTCTCCGGATGCCACCAAATCGAGGAATTCTTCGGCAAAAAGCCTCCACAACCTCAAGGTCTCGTAGATAAAAGTCATCAAATTATTTTGGCTAATTTTGATACCTTTCAGACAATTTGAAAGTCCATCACGTTCTGATAATGGACGAGGTCGATGGAATGTCGGGAAACGAAGATCGGGCCGGTGTAAGTCCCAACTTTTTGAATTTTCCATTCAAATTAAAGTTTTTTTAATGAAGAACATTTTAAAATTTTTCGTTTTTAAATTTTGATAAATAATCAAAAAAATTTGGTTTTTAGGAATTAGAGTCTGTTTGAAAGTTCTTTCTAGGGTTTTGAAGGAGAAAAATGCACAATTCTTCGTGAAAAAAATCATTAAAAATTGATTTTTTTGTCCTGATAAAAAAATTTTTAATTTTTTTCAATCTTTTTGAATAGGAGTCGTTGTTTTTCGATTTCTAGGGCCTGAAATTTCAAGAATTGTTTTTTTGAATTTCATTTTTCGCGTCATGTAAAAAAACGGTAAAATTTTGAATTTGTACAAATTTGGTCATTCAAGATCTTTATATCGCCTCTATCACATGGTTCCAGCCACTTGAACTTTTCAATTTACTGAAAAAGTTGTCTCAGTTTGAAATTTTGAGTTTCAACTGAATCAAGGGCAACGTACGTTCCATTATTTGTTTTTATAGCTTCCAAGTTTTTCTAGATGATTTTGAGTCTCTTTCCTCCATTCAAAAATGTGTACAGTGGTTTTGAAATCTCAAAATAATAAAAAAGTGTTCATTTGAAAATTTTGGCTAACCAGAAGGACTTTAATAGTATTTTTACAGATCGCTGAACTGATCCAAATAATCAAGGACTCGAAGATCCCCATTATTTGCATTTGTAACGATCGGATGCACCCGAAAATTCGATCTCTGGCCGGCCATTGCTACGATTTGCGGTTCCACAAGCCGAGAGTTGAACAGATCAGGGTAAAAACCGGCATTTTCGTTTTTTTCTGTCACTTGAAACGCCAAAGAATCGAAATTTTACAACTTTTCTGAACCGGAAAAAAAACTTGCGCGTGGCGTTCTGTAGCATGGGGCAAAGAAAATCGCCTGAAGTCGGGCTCAGAAATAATTTTAATACCAAAATTGGAGTTTAAAATGATTAGTCACGTTTTTAATATATTTTACAGCGTTTCAAGTCGAGAAAAATCGAGTATTCTCACAAATAAATGTTAATAAGCAACTGATTAAGGCTCGAATGATGACGATCGCAGCCCAGGAGAAAGTTAAGATTTCCAAGGATGAATTGGATGAGATGATTGAGATGTCGAGTGAGTTTCAACTGAAAAGATGTTAGGAAATATTATGCTTTTTCCGAAAAAAAAATTTTTTTCTCTATTCTGGTAGATTCTAAACTTTCTATTTTAAGAGCTGAAAACCTTTGTTTTTTTCCCTTCTAACAGGTGACCGCGTGGGCAGGAAAATTTCGGGAAAAAAACAAAAAAAAAGAGTTTAATCAAAATTTCTGAATTTTCGAAGCTCACAATCGAAACTTTTCCACATTTTCGAATTAAGGCCACGACGTTCGTCAAACCATCTACAATCTCCAAATGAGATCGAAATCGTCTGCTTTCGGCGCCAATAAGAAGGACGTCACACTGGTTAATAACCAAATTTTAGAAGAAATCCAAGAATTCTCTCGCTTCCCAGGGTCCTTTCGAAGCGGCGCGAAAGCTTCTGGATCAGCAATCTACGTTGAAAGAACGCAACGAGATGTTCTTCGTGGACTATGGAATCATGCCGTTGTTCGTTCAGGAGAACTATATCAACATGAAGAATGACAAGCATACGTGTGTATTTTTCATCATTTTCGAAGCCAAATTTTCACTACGCTTAAAAAAATTAGAGGATTTCATTCTTTCTGAATTTGTAAAATCGGAGCTTTGATTGGAAGTTTTGTGCGTAGATTATTGAAATTTCGGCTTTTTATAGGCCTTTACAAGCGATTCGAGGCATGCGAGAAGCCTCGAATTGTATTTCGATGGGCGACATTGTCGAGAAGAATATCCGATCCAGAGGCGCTTGGAAACTTCTCAATGAGCAGGTTTATAACAAGAAAAAAATGTCATGAAATTTAGTTGAGAAAAAAATAAGCACATCAAAAACTTTAAAATACTGTAATTAGAATTTGAAAAAAACGACCAAAAAGCAATTTATTTCCATTTTATGTAATAGCTCAGTGATTTAAGATAATTAGACGGAAGAGTGTTAATTTTTCCTGATTTGTTAGAATTGAAATGATTTTTTTGGAAATGTTCACTTGGTTATTTTTTTGCGCAGATATAAATATAAAAACAAGCTCTTTGTCTTAAATAATTATGAAGGCTTACGAAAATTCTGAATTTTTCTCAATTTGTTCACGGATCAAACATTAAAAAAGGAGAAAAAGAGATTTTTTTGATCATGGAAGACGGTGAGATCAACACTCCATGCATCAATTTTCATAGATGCAGAAAGCTGGAAAGATTTTAAAATTCATTAAAAACGGCTCTTCGACTTGAGACCTTTGACAAATTTACCTATGCTTCCTTTAAAAAATCTAGCAGGCTTTCAAATTCCAACCACCTAAAAAAGATTTGAAAAAAAAAACTGAAAGAATCATAAATTCAATAATTTCAGAGCATGCTGGCCTGTGCGATTCCATCAATAGCCACTGGCGGAAACCTCCGCGGCATGCTCCAGTTCCCGACTTGGCTCGGTCGAAACTCTACGGCCGGAAAGCGGAAAAGGATGCTCACCCAACTTGTTATGCATACTCATCTCAAGTAATTCACCAAGCTTCTTCCTGAAATATGTGCGATGTTTGAGGCTTACATAGGAATAGAGGGACTTCTTAAAAGTTGCAATATATTTCAGAAAATCTTTGGAAACGTCATTAAGAATTTCCAAGCTTAAAGTGTAATTTTTTTAAACCTTAACTATTGTCTTACCAGGTCAGCGTATGCTGTATCTCAGTTTCATAGTTTTTTTAATGGCAAAAAAACCGAGGAATTAAACTAAAAAAAGTTTTTGTAATTTTAAGACTTTTTCAACCTGAGAAGAGATAGGAAAGTCCTATAAATTGATGAGAAGGCCCAAAAAAAGGCCTTTGAAACAAAATTCACAAAAATCAAGTTAAAGTTATATTATTTCCTAAATCTTCCATTACACGATTTTTTAGAGGATTTATATATTCAGAAACAAAACGCTGTGAAGATTGTGGCTCATATAATTCTCTAAAAAAAAGCAATTATATTGGAATCACAAGCTTTTGAGTAAAAATTGTCTTCTTTTCACGGTCCCTGACGCATTCTCAATTCAAAACCTTGTAGAGTATCCGCCGACTCGGTCTCATTCGCCATGGACTACGCCCCCATGCTCCGAGAAAGAATGACCAAGCCCTTGTTGAAACACGAGTCCGAGGGAATCCCCGCCGTTCTGGAGACGATGCGCGAGTACGACTTGATCCGTGACGACGGCGAAGCCTTGGGAGAAATCGCCGTTTGGCCTGGAAAAATCGATCCGGCCAGCAAGATCCTGTCCAAGGTGCTGTAACTGTTAGGGTGTTGTGTTGAAAGAAACTTGGATCTTTTGAATCTGAGGGACATCGATGAATCATCTAGATTTCAACAGTTTGAACCAAATTTAGAAAGAGCCAAATTTTTAGCTTAGCTTTTGCTGAGCAAAATTAATGGATGAAAAATAGTTATCTTTATCTAGTTCTCCGGGTATAAGCTTGAAGAAAAGTGACTTTAACTTACGTATGAACCTTGAAAATTTGATTTTAAAAGAGCTCGTCAAAAACAATTTTTATTGTCAGGTACCTTTAAAGCTTGTTCTTCCTCTAGCTAGGTTTGGGTAAAGAGTGAATTTAGGTTTAGAAAATTAATTTTTTTATGCCTGTTCTTTAGGTGAAAGCCGCCCTAACACGGACTCTGAACAAGGAGCAACGTACCTTGCCATATTCCTTGGCTGATATTGCCAAGGGCAAGAAAAAGGCGGCAGGTTTAAAATACCGTTTTTTCGAATAGAGATGAATGAACATTTCCAGCTGCTGGCTTGGACGATGAGGAAGGTCTTTTCGGCGATTATGCCGATGATGAAGACGCTGAGGAGGAAGAAGATTCGGCTCTTGGACCGGAAATTGTGATCAAAACGACGGCTGACAAAGGCAAAGCTTCACGGGGACGCGGTGGAGCTGCTTCTGCGGGTAAATTTGGGAAAAAATACAGATAAATGATTGGAAAATCCAGATTTTAGCCTAGATAATAAATTTTTAGTTTCAAATATTCTTGAATCTTATTTTAGTATTCAAAATTTCCAAAATCCAACAAAGTTTTTTTGTTAATTTTCCGAAATTCATTTTGTTTTTTTGACTCAGGGCAAAGTCGGAATGGTGGATAATGACGGCTGAAAAGGAAGAGCTTAAGAGGGCAACAAAAAGAGTTTCTTTATCGAGCTTCACATTTTTTTTTTTCGGAATTTAAAAGGCTCAAGAAATGGTGGAAAAATGGTGCGTAAGAGCCGATGAAATGGCGCAAAAAGGCAGGAAAAAAGGAGCCTTTTTCACCCTAAGAGGAACATTTTTATGAAGTTTTTTTTCCATCCTTTTCGACTTTGCCCATGGAGCGATATTTATTCTCCAGTTCGTTTTCGAAATCTTTTTTTCAGTCCCTCAGAAGTTTCAAACGACGTTTTTTCTTTGCTTTTTTCGATACTTTTCCTCGAAACTTGTTCGAATTATAGGTCGTGGCGCGCGCGGCGGGGGCCGAGGTCGTGGTGCCAAAAAGTAAATTTAAAACGAAAACGACTCCCTTAGTTTTGTAGATTTATTTCATTTTTCGCTCATACCCTTGTTGAATATTATTTTCATCATACCCTGTGTTGTTCTACGCGTATCTCAACTAACCATCATCTCGCTTTATTCTTATTTCCGTCTTTTGTATATTAGAAAGCTTTCGTTCGGATAAAAATAACTGAAAATATTATTTTTTTTATGGGTGCCGAAAGAGGAAAAGTGACAGTTAGTTTCGCCAATCGTTCATCCTTCAAAGGGAAGAAGTCGCGTTTTCTTATTAGGAAATTCTGAAAATCCGAAACAGTCTGTAGGGTTTGAACACTACATTTTGGAGAGTTAGAAACAAAAATTTAGGGGTTTTTAAAAAAAATAATAAGTTGAGTTGCTTAATTATGAAAAATGGCATCATCAGGTTCAGCAAAAAAACGTTGGAAAAAAAGAAAGTTCCGAAATATCTTGAAATTTTCCGAAACCCAGTTGCTCAAAAGTTTTCGTTCATCTTTTTTTTTCCTTGAAATAAGAAAAACCATCTTCGAGACCTCCTTCAAACATTTTAAAAACACAAAACACGAAAAGCTGAGCATTTCACACTTTTTTTCCCATCTTGTTTGTGGATTTGATCCGTCGATTTTTCCCGGTTATTGGGAGCAACAATGGCATTTCTTCGTCACGCGCGCGATCCAGACAGCTGTCGGCTTGTGTTTTTTCCTTCCAACTTAACGTCTCTGCTTCAACTTATTTTCTTTTCTTTTCTTGTTTTTTTTTCCCAAGAAATTCGTTCCTTGCTACCTTTACACCAATGTTCTCACAGCTGGCGTCGGGTAATTAGCTGGCTTCTGGTCAGGTTTTCAGCTTTTCCTAGGATTTCTCAATTAACTTTTTTCCAGACTATTTTCTCATAATTTCTGATTTTTAATCAGAACTCCGGTTTTCTAGAAATTTATCTGATCAAATTATTTTTCTTTTTTATGTCGTGGTTACACTAGTTTCCTAGTTCTGATCAAGCTGTTCTTGATTCATTTTTGGGGCTCAAATTTCAAATCCTAGGTTTAGTGGTTAAAAAACGAGCGAAAGAAGGCTTTTCATACAGCAAGAGCAGTTCTGCGTTTAATTAACTGTTTTAGGACTTTGAGAATATATTGAGAGCGGGAAACGTATGCTTTCCCACTTTGATATTCAACATTTTCCTTTCATTAAAAAGTTTAATTTTCTTTTGAATGTTCTTGAAATTGAAGTTGGTTGATTTATTCTATTCATTTTGAAGAGATTCATCAAAAAGGAAGGGGGAAGGAAGAGAGCGTATTTCATCATTAATTTTACACATAAGAAACAATGTTTTTTTCTAATTTTGCCAAATATTCAAAAAGAGCTTTTTAAAAATTGAGTCATCATGGGAGCTCGTATAGTAATATAATTTGAGGAGCTCCAATTATTATTAAAATTGCTGCTCAAATCCAGCGTTTTTCTCGGCTTGCTAATGATTGGTCTGCCGAGGCTGCTCGAAAAATAAATTTAAATTTAAAATCGTGATTTTTCATTTTATTTTCAGAGAGCTCTTTATAACTCACAAGGTTATCTATTTTTCATTTCTTTTAGAACTTTTTCGGTTCATTGCTTTCTAAATTGATGCAAAAATTATCCCCTGAATATGAATTTATCTACTTACTTCCTTGTAACAAGAAAAAAAAAAACAAGGACCTTGTTTCGTGAACTATGATTTTTTGAAGCATTTTGTCAAGTTCTCAACTTCCAACCGAAAAAAAACTTTTTCCGCTTGACACAGCTGTTGTTTTTTGCAGTGCAGTTAGACCCAACTAAATAATTTAGTCTAAATTCGCCTCGTTCTTATAAATTTCCATTAGCTCCTCTAAAACTCTCAAAAATCCATTTGACTAAAATGGGAACTTTCATGAACCCTTATCTATTTTCAAATGTTCCATAGAGGTTTTTGATCATTTTCTCGAAAAATTTTGTTGTTTCTAATGATACTGACGTTGATACAGCAGAGAACTCAATTGAAAAAAAAAATTTGAAGAGAGAAAATTGTTTGCCGTCGCCACTTGAGATGAAGATTCAACCTTTTCTCTTTTACTTTGTACCTTTTGTTTTCCTTGGTGCATTCCATAGAAATCACGCAGCTTTCCAGTACATCTGGCTCGTTTCCAAGAAATGACCTCGAATACCGTAGGACTTTACATTTTTACATCGTTTTAAAGTCATAATTCGATAATAGGGCTTCGGAAACGAGTTTTTGGACCGTAAACATGCTTTTGAGCAATTATTTCTGGGATTGTTCATGCTTTTTAAATTTTGCTCTGAAGCAAACTTTTTTTAAACTTCTCATAAATGAGTTTTTAGGAATATTGCTTGAAAAATTCTTTTTTTTTGGGAATTTCTTTGAGATCTATTTCAGGCCATGTGAGTGGCACTTTGACTTGAGTGACGGTCCTTGAAATTAATTGAAATGGCTTTTTTCCCCCAGTTGAGGGCTCGGCTAATGTTTTTTCAAGATGTCAATAAGACAAAATGAAACTTGGATTTTAAAAGTTAGCCAAAGAAAAGCTCTTTAAAACCTCCCTCAAATTATAATTTGTTTAAAGTTGGAAGAAACGACCATCAATAAATAGTCATAAAATTTAATAAGTTTATATTTTATTTTTTTGAATATTTCATTGACTCTGTTGATATCTAGAGTATTACTTTCTTTCATTTTTTAGAAGAACTTCAATATTTTCTTCATAGCTTTTGTAGAGGCTTTTTTGAAAGGTTTTCTCTATCGTTTTCTCAAAAATAAGTTCCAATCATGAAGGACTGTCGGTAGGACAGAAAGAACAAACAAAGAAAGTCGGCGAACGGCCGCGGGGCGATTTCCGCGAGCCGCCGGCTCCGCCCACAACCTCTTGGCACGCAGGAAAAATTCTCGGCTTGAACTCGATGTTTTCATCGCTTTTCAATACATCTTGTCGACGATTTCGTTTCGAATTTTCTCGAATTTTCTTAAAGAAGTCATTTCAGTGTAGAGTCTCTGAAAATTTGCTCAAGCACTTTCTGAAGGTCCAGATTGAGATTTCTCATAATCGCTATGGTCGAAATCTTCTATTTTTCGAGTTATGAATTATCATTCCATCTGAAATCCATATTCCGCAACTTTACAAAATATAATCTTCAAAACTTGAACTTTGCAAAGGTAGCAACTATTAAGGAATATTTTCAAGACTTTCATTGGAAACAGATCCAGAAATTTCCTACTTGAAGGAAAAAAAACACTAAATGAATAGGCTCGTACTTGAATATTATATTCATCATTTTTCTGTTTCCTTTTATTGTTTTTTTTTCATCTCATGGTCAGATGGAAATTATCTGCTTCAAATTTTATGAATGAGTTTTTTTCCGCTTTGAACTTTGACACCAGTATCTTCAAAAGATGAGCTTTTTGCCTTGGTTGAATGCCAAAAGATGTCCCCTGAGTGTTTTGAGCTCTCCGAACAGGCCATTTAAAATTCTCAGCTTGAGAAGAAAAGCGTCAAATTCTGACTCGAGTTTGAGTTTTCATTCTATTTGCTTTTTTTCAACATCGCTTGTCAGTTTTTTTCTGGATTTTTTTTTGATGGTGCAAGACCGATTCTTAACAAAGCACATGATTAGAGTGCTGCCGTCCTCAAAGTTCAGAAAGTTCAGAGTTTATAGTTTTGTAGAGGAGCTTATCAAAAAATTTACTGGATTCAGGATCTTTTAGGAAAATTGGAATATTTTATGGATATTTCTAGAGCTTCCTGTTCAATTTATCTGGATATAATTTCCTAGTGACTTTTTACCAGTATGTGAGAAGTTTTGAACCTAGTGAAACCCTTCTTTTTCCATTTATCTTTCCCTTTTCTTTCATAGATTTTTGATTTATTTATCATTTATACAAGACGAATAATAATACAGTTCAAAGGCCGATAACAGAACCAATTAGAGCCTCACTATTTTCATCAAAATCGTTCGATTCCTTAGAAAAAATTTTTCTTTGCCGTAGTATCAGCGGTCATCGATAAGCCCAGTGATTGGGAAGCCGCCGCCACATGTTTTTTCCTCCTTTTTTTCGCGTCATTTGGCCGATCGTTTCTCGGTGACCGACCAGACTGCAGATAAAAAGATAAAGATGTCGTTTGAACTGGAAAGCTGCGAGAACTCGGAGTCGTCGGGATGTTCGATCGATGACAAGTTACCGGCAAAAAACTGTCTGATCAGAGGGAAAGACGGCGTTTATGCGGTTGGCCGCAAAATTGCTCAAGGACGATTTGGAGCTGTCTATGAGGTTGGGATTCGTTCAATGATCTTTTTTTTTCATCATTCGACTGAGGAAAATAGAAAATTTAAGTCTTCAGTTCATTGTGAAATCAAAAAAATGCTTTAAAACTAAGCGCTAGAAAATTAAATATGTAGTAAATAAGTCTCCTTCAACTATCATCAATCCTAAAATTGAATCAAGATTAATTTTTTTATCGAGTTTCATTATAAATAAGTTTTCTGGAAGCACTTTTTATACGTTTATAGCAGCATAATTCTTAATCCAATAAGTGTCACTTGAAAATTTTGCCATAACTTGATTCATTCAGAAAGTTTTGGTTTGTCCTTCGAAAAAAGCAACCTTTTTAAGAAGTGAAGAGATACCAAAGATATCACCAGACTTTGAGAATGAAAACCTTGTTAAAAATGTGATTTTGGATGTTCCAGGTCCTCAGACGATCCGACGGCAAACCGTTTGCTTGCAAGCTGGAAATTTGCGAAGTTCACTCCCACGGCCTCGATATGGATTATACCGTTATGCACAAGGCAGCCAAGAAAGGTTTCAGATATTTTTCAGTGGGGCCAAGTTCCGTAGGTGGAATGGCTCGATGCGTCGCGGACGCGCCGCATCCAGATTGTATTATAGTCCGTTCGACGCGACTTGACCGTTTTTGCGTGTCTGCGTCTCTCTGTTCTCTCACCGGCGAGGTCAGAGAAACATGGAAATAGCACGCAAACATGAGAGACACGTCGAGAGACGAGGAGGGCGCAGAGAAGTCCTTTCAAGTCGCGAAAAACGGACTATACGCGGCTTTTTTGAGGATTTCTCATTCCGGGCTGAAAAAATCATTTTTGGTCGATTTTCTGATAACTTCCTGAATGGGATTAAAATTTGAACCTTTTTTGGTGACCTATTTTCATTTTTTCCAGAACCTACATTTCATTTATTCAACTTTCAAATTGAGCCATTCCCCATGCGGCTGACACGCTCTGAGTTAGAAAGAGTCGAATATTCTCGAACTCCTAGATTTTTATTATCATTTTTTCGAACCTTAAACATTACTGGTTTAAAGGCGCCGACCATCTGCTCCGCATGATTGATCGCGGAAAAATCGAGGAGCACTTCAAATTCATCATCATGCCTTTGGTAAAAAAATTACAACAATTTTTCTGAAAAACACTTTTTTTCAAGTTGGGAGACAACTTGATGAAGATGAGGTTCATGTTTGAAGACGGCCGATTTTCGCTGTCCACCGGCCTTCGTTTGGCTCTTCTGGCCCTGACTCCGATTCAAGAGCTTCACAATTTGGGTTATGTTCATCGGGACATTAAGGTTGGTCCATAGAAATTCAAAAAACCACAACATAATTCGAAAAAATCGAGAAATAGGTAGGAGTTTTCGGATTCAATCGCATTGAATTTTATAGGTAAACTTAAGAAAAAAAATCTTTTCTTCTCATATTTCCTGGTTTTATTCCCTTCTGTCAATATCCTCGTAGGACTCTCCCAGACTCAGGGCTACTATTCAAAAACTCAGTTGTGAATTTTGCGACTCGATATCCTCATTTCAAGGCCTCAAACTTCTGTCTCCCACCTCACTTTTCCTCGCCACAAGACATGAAACTGATGCTGATCGATTACGGTGTGTGCAGGTCATTCAAAGACAAAAGCGGTGAACTCAAAACTCCAAGGGAGGACATTAAATTCAGGTTTTATCGAAAAAATGAACTTCAAAAATTCGAAACAATATTTTCAGAGGAACCAACCGTTACGCCTCCCTAGCGGCTCATCATGGCGAGGAACAATCGCCCAAAGATGACCTTGAATCTTGGTTTTATATGATGATCGAACTGATTTCTGGTTCAAACATTTCTATGAAAACCCTCAAGTGATAACTTTCTTCCAGGAGATCTCCCTTGGTCACATTTGCACCGCGATGATCGCAAAGAGACGGCCGAAATTAAGGAACAGTGCAGAACGGCCGACGGATGTCTCCTCATGATGAAATATTGCCCGAGAGTGAGTTCGAAATTTGGAAAATAAGCAAAAGCTTGAACTGGGACTTTTTCTGGGCCTCCATTTAAAACTTTGAAGCGTTAAGTGGCTACTATAGGGGATCTAAATAGGGCTCCTAAAGAGTGTAGTCAACGTTTAGTCCCTTCAGCTCTGTCGAAATCGAAGTAACCCCTAGAGTGCAAAAACTTCTTTTACAAGCTTCAGTAACCATTTGTAATTCCGCTTGTACCACTTTGCTTTTAATTTTTAAAACTTCAAAAGCATAAGATGACCACTGAAAAAGCAAAAATAGACTGCCCCATGCTGGAATCGAACCAGCGACCTTCTGTTTACAAGACAGACGCTCTGCCACTAAGCCAATGAGGCGCTATCGCAAAAAGATTGCCTCGGGGAGTGTATTGAGCAAGCCTTTTATAGATTATAGTGCCGAATAGGCAAGAGCAAAAAGTGCAAAAAAGCAACTGCCCCATGCTGGAATCGAACCAGCGACCTTCTGTTTACAAGACAGACGCTCTGCCACTAAGCCAATGAGGCGACTGGCAGCCTGCGCTTGCAAACGCCTACAGGTTCTCGTTGCAGGTCGAGTTCCGCCGCATACAAACCTACCTGTCGGGCCTGAAATATCAGAACACCGTCGACTACACGTTCATTTCGGAAGTCGTTCACCTCGCCATGAAGAATAATGGAGTCAAAATTGACGAGAAATTCGATTGGCAGGAAGATTAACGTGAAGCAACTTCATTTCTTATTTATTCTTTCGATTCTAAAATATATATTCTTTCGATAGTCTGGGGAAAGTTTTTGATTGTTTTCTGTGTTCTTAAAATATTGAAAAATCAATGAAAAACTTTTCCTAGTTGCGCTCTAGTCTACCACATATCACGAGGTATTCAAAGAAACTGTAAAATATAATTATTGTACTCAAGACTTCACAATATAACTATAAAATGTTCACTAACCAAAGCTAACCAGTATAAATATTTTAATCGCGTCCAAAATCGTTAAAGGAAGAATTTTTTTATATTGATGATAAGGCAATAAAAAAATGCAATTTATACAGAATTTTATTAACAACGGAGGAAATCCGGTACTGAGACGCCTTCCCCGGCGACGTTGTCCCTGGCGACGTCGTAGATGAACACCAAGCTCTGCGTGTAAATGTTGGCCTTGCCGTTTTTCCATTCGGAGATTCCCCGGACTCGGTCAGGCAGGTTCTGAAATATGGACAAATATTACGGATTGACAATAAAGAGGAATTATTTTGGACCAAGAAATCTATTTTTTATACCTTGAAATAACTACTGGATCGGCCAGTCATCAACGACTTGTTCCAGTATTCATCATACAGAGCGAACATTCCACCGTTCTAAAGAGACTTTTAAGTTGATTTTTCTTGAATTCTTTCCCAAACCGAAAGAAGCATTTGATGCTTGTCATGCCATCGGATAGCCGCATTAGGAGTGAAGGCGATAGAAGATGGTAGCTCCTAAGATTTTAAACTGAAATTGACTTTTATTCAAGTACAACATGAGAAAAATCAAGTATCATTTATCTCTCTTTCACTTCTTTTTCACGTGTTTTACACTCTTTCTTCTGATTTTTACCTTCGGATAAACAGATTCAAGTTTGTAGTCTGATCCCTTGCGTTTATAGCCGTAGACCTGAATTTCAGAGCCACTTTAGAGACTCTATTCAGAAAATCCAACCGATTTTTCTTCGATTACAACGAGAATCTCCCTTTCTTGGTCATAAACTGCCGCATTGACGTGTCTAGGTCCAGACGGGAACATTTTGGAAATTGAATCGGATGAAATTATCCGGTCGTTCTTCACAATGTAGACCTTGTCCTCCGAGAAGAGGTAGTCCTCACCAGGGCCTAAGAAAGAAAAAAGACTGAACCAACATTTTTAGAAGTAGAAATGTGAGAATAAATGATAAGATATTATTTTACACTGATCATCTTGAGCCCTCATTTACACAATTTCGAACAAATTTTCAAACATGTTTATTTAACACACGTTCTCCCAGCGATAAACCGTTGATACCGAAATTTCAGATTAAGTTTTCTGAGCTCATTGTATGGTCACAATAGCTACACAAGGTCCTGAAAATTTTACATAGGTCTTTGAGAGGCTCCGCCCCTTTTTAGGGTTGTGGTAGGAAAAATACCAAAAAAAAAATGCAACTTTTCTTTTTGTGTACAAACTTTTTTTTGACCATTTATTTTCATACCGAAAAAAATTAATTTTCATTGGTGAGCCTGAAATTAGCAGAAGACCCAATATTTTTCAAAATATCCATCATCGAAAGTCATCGGATTCATAGTACAGTGTCACAAAAAATGTATTCTAAAACATTAGAACTATAATTTTAACCACACTTCTTGCTCTATCTTTAACTTTTTATCGAAAAAAATTTCGGGAAAAATATACCAAAAGTATAGGCGCCGACACGGTTAGGACAGTTGGCTGATGGATGTCTGTCGCTTGAGGAGAGTATTCTGGAAAAATGGTTCTTTAGATTAGAAAAAATAATGGTTTACTTTGTAACTAGTGGCCTCGAAGTCGTTGTGAACTTCAAACGTGGTGGCTCCTAAAATGCAAAAATTCGAAGATGGCTTTTTTATAGGCAACGGCAAAAATGACGTATTGGAAGCTTGTGCGGAGAGTTTTCGAAATTGGACTTACCGATCATAAAGAAAAATTCATGTAAAATTTGACACACTTTCAATCTCACCCCAAAAAAAAGCCGACTATTACTCCATGTATTTATTCGCTAAGTAGTAAGTAAACAATTAAAATTCGAACATGCTGCTTTCCACGCTTTCCACGCTTAAAGTGTCATTCCACGCTTAAAGTGTCATTCCACGCTTAAAGTGTCATTCCACGCTTAAAGTGTCATCCGTGCGGTTCCTCTATTCTCTGTCGTCTCCCGTACGCCTACTCTGATGGCGCCTCTCACACGCGGGGAGGAGCGGGTCGCAGCTCTCGAAAGGCTCGTTCAAGCCCAATCAGAGGAAATTCGTCTTCTTCGAGACCAGCAACGTAAATCCGACGAGCGGTTCGAAGAAATCTTGAGAACAATTTCTGATCTCACAGCCGTCGTCTGTGAAGTCCGTGATGTTTTGAAGTGCAAGAAATCGTATTCGGATGTCGTCGCCGCACCTACCACAACTTCGCCACTTGCCCTTGCTATGAAGGCTCAACGTGCGTTGGAGTCAAGATCGGCCCATGAAAAAAAGACCTGACCATCGTCGTAGTTGGACATCAAGAAGCGGAACAAGAAGACCTGACCGGCTGTGCTCGTGAAATCCTCTCAGCCAACAATATCGATCCAACACACATTGCCGAAGTCTTCCGTCATGGCACAAAAAGAGCCGGTTCTACTCGAATCATCAAAGTGAAATTGACCTCAAGGAAAAAGCTATTTCCCGATCAAGAAAGCCCTCGGACAGTCGACGTTTGGAACATTCGCCCGCGACGACCTCAGCATAGAAGAGCTGAAAGAAGACCGCCGCCTCCGTCAACAGTGCCACATCATGAACCAAGAAGTCGGTCGGAAGTGCTACGTCGTTCGGGACCTTGCCATCGTCGCCACCAACAACCAGTCTCTCTATGCCCCAGCATCTCTTCACGTACCTTCAAAGACAGGTGGGGTGGAGGAAAGATCTGAACCCGTAGATAATAATAACAGCCAGTCTTCGCAATGAGTTCTACTAAAAGCAAACTATATATGTCGAATCTAAGAGGGTTAAAAAGTAAGAAATCATTAATAGAGTTAGAAACAGAATGTGGAATTGGCAGCTCAACCTTTTACATTTTTACAGAGACATGGTTAAATTCAAACGATGATTTAGATCTACTTACGAATTTCAATCATTATAATTCTGTTTACATATGTCGTCCCAATCATAAAAAAGGTGGTGGTCTACTCATTCTTTATCCAAAAAACTATATACATTTCGAAGTCCGTCAGAACATTTCCGAAGCATTCGAATCCATTACCATCAAAATTACAAACATCAATAGCAAAAATTCATGGTATTTGTCAGTTGTATACAGGCCTCCCGGTTGGAATCCGCATTTCATATCAGAATTTTCATCATATATGTTTCATATTTACGAATCAATTGGAGACGGACGCCACATAATTGCCGGAGATTTCAATTTTCCGAACATAAACTGGAACAATTTGAGTGCAACCGACTCAATCTCAAAAAGTTTTCTTAGAATAGTTTGTGATTATGGTCTTACACAGAAGGTTAGAGAATGTACAAGAGGTGACAATATTTTGGACTTGGTTTTCGTATCGGACAAAAGCCTTATCAGTACTGTTGATATAGGAAAGCCCCTGTCAGACCATAACACGGTTGAATGCACTTTGAACATCGAAAAATCCAGTTTTAACAAAAATTCTTCAAAAATTGGTTTATGACTATGCAAAAAGCAAATTTCGAAGCTCTTGAACTAAAGTTGTCATACATAGATTGGAATTATCGGTTTAGTACTTGTTGTTCTCCGGAGGCTATGTACCAACTTTTTTTTAGACATACTCAACCCACTTATAGCGGAATTTGTTCCACAAAAAATCATAAAACCTTTTAAATTCCCTCCGTACCTCATTAGGCTCAAAAGAAAAACTGAGAAGAATTATATAAAATATAAAAAGTCTTGTACCGAGAAAAATTTAAAAATTTACAAAGCCAGCATGAGATCTTATCGGAATTCCATAAAAGAATATAAAATAAATCAAGAAAAAAACATTCTTGAAAAATCGAATTCGAGTAAACAATTCTGGAATTACGTCAAATCAAAAACACGTGTAATCAAAGAGTCTCCTGCATTACTTTTGAACGATGAACTGATCACAAATGACAGGGCCAAAGCAAATGTATTTAATGATTACTTCAGCAGCGTATATACAGTTGATGATGAAAAATCTTTCGATCCAGTTTTCAAACCTCAATTCACTATAGACAACGTGAGCGTAGAACCTCATGTTGTATATGAAGCATTGAAAAAATTAAAACCTCTTTACTCATCCGGACCAGATAACTTATCATCAATTTTATGTAAAAAACTTGCCCTTCCCCTAGCGTTGCCTTTATCATTAATATTCCAGAAGTCATTGGATACCTCCATATTGCCTTCTCTTTGGAAGAAATCAATAGTTAGACCAATTTTCAAAAAAAATAGCCCTCAAAAAGCGGAAAACTACAGACCTGTGAGCCTAACATGCGTTCCATGTCGTGTTTTCGAATCTATTACTGTCCGAGCTTTAAGAAATCACTTATGGAGCAACAATATACTCTCTGATTCACAGTACGGCTTTCTCAACAATAGAAATACAACGACGCAACTTCTTCAAAAACAGAAGTTTTTAATCGAGTGCGCCAGTAGAAATCAGAATGTGGACGTTGTATATTTAGATATTAGTAAAGCTTTCGATTCAGTCACACATAGGAGGCTCATTAAAATGTTAAAAGCTTATGGGTGTGTAGGTCGCTTACACAAATGGTTTTCACAGTACTTAACAAATAGAACTCAATTTGTCCGCCTTAATGATGAGGTATCCAACGAAACCGAGGTGTTGTCTGGGGTTCCACAAGGAAGCTGCTTAGGACCGTTGTTTTTCTTGATATACATAAATGATATAACTAGTGTCGTAAAAACATAGCAAAAATGCTCATTTATGCAGATGACGTAAAATTATTCATAAGCTCAGAAACTGATAATTATAACCTCAAGCTGCAATCAGATATTAACTCAATAAGATACTGGCTTTTAGAAAGGCAACTATCTATTTCTAGCTCTAAAAGCGTCTATGTGCGGTATGGTAAAAGAAGGGGAATCTGGAACGACTATAGAATAGGAGAGGAATCCATCCCCAAACAAGAGGTGATTAGAGATTTAGGAGTTAATTTCAGTTCCGATCTGAAAATGCATCATCATATCGACATAATAGTCAAAAAAAGCATTCGTATAATCAATAATCTTTTCCGTTGCTTCACTTTTTCCGTTAAAAACTTTATGAACTGTTATAAAGCCAAAAATTCTACCAATTTTTAGAGTATGGATCAGAGCTATTCTCTCCACTAACCCAATCTGACATAAACAGGCTAGAATCGGTTCAAAGAAAAATTCACCAAACGGCTTCTCCCAAAAAGAAACCTATGCTGTAAGACTAAAATCCCTTTCTCTAGACACTCTATGGACAAGGCGTCTGCGAAAAAGATATCATAATTACACATCAGTTCATATATGGCTATTATTGGTGTCCATCTCCATTCAAATTACAAACGATATCAAATAGACGAAACCAACTGAGAGGCAACGGCCTTGAAAACTCGAACCACCACCAATCCATCATGTTCACTATAACTTTATTACGCAACGCGTGTATAAATACTGGAACGGCTTAAACAGAGTTATGGTTTTTGAGGATGACCAAAGAAGATTTAAAAGTTGTTTGAAAAAAATTGGTTTTTGATAAAGGAAGCTGCAAATTTCACAAAATGATTCAACTCGTTTATAGATTACTTTTTCTTTTTGATTCTCTTCGATTTCGACCTAAAAATATTTTTTTAGATTAAAGTGGAACTTTATCGAAGTGGAGGCAAATATAACTTTCATGGTTCTCTTCCTCTACGCCACAGATCTGTCTGTGAGCGAAATAAACATTCATTCATTAAAAAAAAAACATCGCCTGTTTTCTGAAAGAAGAGCAAAAAAAAATTTCAATCATTTTTCCTTTATTCAGGTGCTAATGTCCTCGTTTACTCACTTACCGAGCTCGTTCTGGGATTATTAAGTGGAATATCGATATCTTCTCCCAAATTCGAATTGGAAGATCCCCGTTTCGGTAAATGGACTGATTGGCCCAAGTGGCCATTTCCCAAGTGATCGCCCAACTCTCCAGAATCTTTCCTGGTCACGTGGATTGGTGTAGATGGCTGGAAATAATTGTTTAAAGTTGGTTTTATTAAAACTCAAAATGGAAGGGCTCTTGATTCAAAAAGATCTTAAAATGCGTTTCTGGCGAAAAAAAAACAACTTCGAACGGAGTTCTTTAAAAATTCTTTTTTTCTTTGGGGGTTTTTTTTTCAAGGATTTATAAAGTTTTGAAGAGAAGACGGCCAGAAGTTAAAAAAACAAGATAAAAAAAGATTCTCAATCTTAAAAAAATTTGAGAAAAAGAAGCCTAGAAGCAATTTTTTTGAGCCTTATTTTAGAAAAATTCAAAGATATTTCATACGACGAAAAAAACACAGAAAGTTCTCGAGAAAGAACTATAAAAATCATTCCACTGACCTCTGATTTTTTTCTACCGGCTTTGGCTTGCTCTCAAAAAGCCAAAAAGCGCGTTTGCACTGACCACTAGTATAGCGAATAATGAAAGATCTGAAAACCCAATAAAATACCTTGAAAATTCATGAAATAAAAATAATAAGAAAAAAAGGCAAACTTTTATCAAATCGATAACAATAATTTTCAAGAAAAACTCACTGTTTACACCCATCTGAAGAAACTGCCGATCGGAAAGTGATTGAAAACAAAACCGATCGCCTTTTCATTGTCTCTTTTTTAAGAGACATTACACAGCTTATGAATCATGGGCCTCCTTCCGGACGTTGTTTGGTCAACTTCTCACGTCAACTGTGACTCTTGACTTTTTCGTAGAGTTGAAAAAAATCGAGGCAACTGAGATTAAGATGTTTCAAAACGAAAAAAATTAAATAAATGAAGTTGAAAAATAAGGAATTGTAACTAAACTGGTAAGCTAGACTTTTTGCAACTGAGTGCACTAGTGAAAAAAACTTTTTTTCACTTTCAAAATATTCAAGAGAGATTTCTAAATTAATAACAAAAAGCTGAAAAATTCGAAAAAGTAAAAATTACCGGTTTTTGGTTAACCGTTAAAAATTAAATATTCAAGAGAGACTTGTTTCACGCCAAAAAGACTTTTATTGGCTCAAAACGAGTTGATTGACGCATGTTGAGTGATTAAAGTTTCGACTGATTTCAGTTTATAATTTCTCTTCAATCACGTTTGAAATATTATTTGCATTTTATTATGATAAAACGATGGTACGACAAAAATCTCAAGTCCGCAAATATCGAGGACCGTAATCTTGTGTACGTAGATCTAAAGTCCCATAATCTTGAAACCAAAATCTTGGAGACCAAAAATCTTGGAAACCACAATCTTAGAAAGTAAAAAAATCAACGCTTTTTGCGAATAGATTTTATCAGAAATTGTATTCGGTGATCCAAACGAGAGAATATAAGTAGATAAAGTGCAATAAAGAAGACTAAAAAGGAAGATTTTTTTGCTTTCCAAGATTGTGGTTTCAAGATTTTGGTCTCCAAGATTTTGGTTTCAAGATTATGGGACTTTAGATCTGCGTACACAAGATGACGGTCCTCGAGATTTGCGGACTTGAGATTTTGTCGTACCATCGATAAAACGACTTGAAGTTCATTTTTCGATACCTTTATGAAGTTTTTGCGATATCAATTCAGAGAATAAACTTTTTTGAAATGGTTCTAGAACTTCTCGCGGTTGTAGATTTTGTCTGCCGTTCATGTGTGATAATTTTTTTATCGATAACATAATAATATTGATTTGGTGAATTTTAGCGAAGCTCGGACCGTCGACGAAAAAAACCTTGGTTGGCGCTGCGAAGATAAATGAATATAGGAGACAAACGAAAAATGGTCAGTTCCGATTTTTTTAAAATTTCTTTTTAATCAGGTATTTTTAGGCTCTAATAATAAAGTATTTTCTATTGGAAAGTGAATTTTCGTGAAATTTTTTAAATTTCCAGTTGGAGGATGTTAAGAAGCTGAAGATACATGAGTTTTATTAACCATGATCAGGGTAAAAAGGAAAGTTCGAGTTTCAAAATGAACTAGAATTAGATTTTCTGGTCGAATCTGCGTTTTTTCTTTTAAAATTACACTGATTTACAATATCGGTTCTTCAAATTCGTGTTTTAACAACTGGTAATCTCATATTTCATTTTATAAACTCTCGGAGGTTCCCTGGTTATTCTCGATGACTTCATACTCACGACAGTAGGTGCCACTCCACACACTTCAAACCAAACGCACCTTTGTTTATTTGGTCAATCTTAGCCAAACGCTTTTGACAGTTATTATTGTAAAGACCTGAACAACCAGCTTTTTCGAAGTTTTATCAAAGTGTGTCATGCTGAAAATTTTATTGTCAAGATATTGTAAAATAGATTGGTTTGAAAATTCACTTTTTTTCAGTTTTAGTTTTGAAATTTTTCTTCTTCAAGATAGATTCACCTCGACCGAGTTTCCATAATTCCTCCAAACTTTATAGTTTTCCATATACCACCTAGTGTGAAGCTGGAAAATTGGTATCAAATAAATTAAGAAAAAACTTCCTCAATAGGTCCGAAAATTGGCAGCGGCTAAAAAGTATCATCTCCGAGTTTTGAAGCTATTTAAAAAGTTGCATGATTGAGCAGCCTCATCTAAAACTCTCAAACTCAAGTTGGCTGAGATCCACATGTAAGACGTCGCTTAAAGTAATATTCTTCAGGTTAGCAGTATTTAACTGATAAAGTTTCAAGGCTCTTTGTGCTTTTGTTTTTCATGGTAGTGCGATATTTCTCCAAATCTTGGACTCTCCATGCCGCCAATGCTCTTATTTATTTCAGTTCTCTTCGTTGTTTTCAGAGGTCCATACAAATTAAGGAAATCAGATCATACTTGATGAGAGAGGGGTAACGGGAGCCGAAGAAAAACAATAACAGAAGATGATTTCCAAGTGGCTATCATGAGCGCTCCTCCGGGTCGAGTGGCACTCCAAACGCGCAAATATATATCTATATATTTCTGTGCGTTTTGAGAGGATCTCGTCCGCGACGTGAGCCATCAACCACTTATTAGCGCTTTTTATCGCACTTTGGGAGGTTTTCAAGCTTGGAAACAGTGTATAGTTCATTCACGAGCAATTTGATAGAGCAGAACGGTGCCTGAATTTTGTGAATTTTTGTAGAGTTTTGATAGGGATCTTAATTGCATTTGCGCGCTTATTGAAGCTCAAAAAGGTGAATAGTAGACTCATACGCAAATTGAACCTGAAACTTGACGGATTTCACTATCTTTTGTTCAGTTGTCTTTTTTTATACATTGGAAGAAAGTTCGACTGTGGATTATTTTTTGTCGGACTTTCTTCATAAGTTTGCGCAGATAGCGACTATGCGGAATCGATTCCTAGTCCATCAAAGATCCTTTGAGCAAATTTATAGAAAATTCCAAACCCTACGCAAAAATGACCTTCCATGTCAGTTTAAGAAAGGGCGGGGTCTCAATTTCTCAGAACTTTTTCTTGTTAAAATTTTTAAGAAAATTTTCGTGAATTTCTCACGATTTTCTGTTTGGAAATTCCTGAAAACTCCTTGATTCTTCACATTTTTCGGAGTCCCTCAAGGACAGTCCCTTAATCTCAATTTTCATTAGAACTGTGAACGCTAACGGAGAAAAAAAAAAGCCGAAAACGACTCCGAATTCTTTTTCAGGGCCGTTTTAGGACTCTATCATCGCAACTGTTAATTAGATAACGTTGTAACTTCGAGAAAATTCATCTTTGAGCAGAATTAGAATTTTCCCTGAAAACTAGAGACAAGTTTTCTTATTTTTCAAATTTTTTAATTTTTTAGCTAAGATAATTGAAAAAAGAGTGAAAAGGGCTTGAAAACTGCTTGAAAAAAAGAAAATCTATGATCTCCGGAAGCTTTCCTACATCATTATATTCAGGATCAAACTTGAGCTTTTTGAGAAAAAAATTCGGAAGATCCAAATTCTTGATATTTCAAAATTACGACACCGCAATTCCATTGATCGCAAAAAGAACTGTGAACATCGAGAGAAAAAGAGACGAAAAAAAGCAATTCAAAACCGTTTCGGTGCCATTTTCGGGCGGCTGTTAATTAGATAACGTGATTAGATGGGAGGGGGACGACGTTCTGTTCTGGCCTCTGAACGGCCGTTTTATGGCGCAACAGATGCGCGACTTGGGTTTCACGACGTCGACGACGACCTTTTGAATAATTACTCTATCTCTCGTTTAGTCGCATCGTTAATTATTATTAGCAACCGAATTTTCTACGTTCCTCCTTAATTTTCTCGTCTTCGCCTCGATTGAATTAAATTGGTCCTTTTTAATTTTTTTTTTTCTTTGAGCCATACATGGTATGAGCATGACTGGACAGCCAAGTCCCTCTCCCTCCCCCGCCCCCCATTTTTTTAGTTTTTTTGTCAAGTCCATCCCCCCTGCCTTTTTTTCGGTTACCACCGAGACTATCCCATGTATGATTTTGAACCGTTTGAAGATTAGTTTCAAGAGGATATAGCGGAAGCTGGTATGCTTTATTAGGTACACCAGCGTCCAAAAAGATTGGAAAAAAATTTTGGTTCACATCTTTCTCGTGTGCAGCTCCACCTTTTTGAAACTTTATGAAGTTGCGCTTTTTTTTGCGAACTTTAATTCTCCTAGAGTGTTACAAATAACAGTCATAACTCCAGAAGGTTTCAGAAAGAACTCTATACAAGAAAATTGTGATCAAAAAAACGTCTTTTTTCGTTTATTTTCTGACCGAACTGTGTATGTTACAGCACTTATGATAGTCGAACCACCACTGCCTTGCTTCTAAAAAGGTCCAAGGTTATTTTGAGCTACATCTTCTAAAATGCTAAAGTTTATGTTATCAGACGGTGCATCTCTTCTACTTCAGTTTTTCCTGAACCCTTTATTATTCCGACAAGAACTTTTGAATACACGTGACGCAACAAAAGAGATGCCCAATAAGGATGCGTAGTTTTTTTTCGAGTTGAATGCGCCTGAATTATCCCCTAATTTGCAAATTGGCACAACAACACAACAGAGATTTTGTTGGATAGGAGCGATAATTATGGGCTTTGTGTGCGTGGCTGAAAACTTGCCAATACCGTGATCAGGGCCGCCGATTTGCACACCGCCGATTTGATTATGCTAAGCTGCACCCGCAAGGCCGCCGCCTGACAAAACAGCCTCGCCGAATTCCGTGGCTCCGATTTCCTCCAATTGTGTGCCAACAATGGACGGAAGAGAATTTGACAGTTAAGCGGCCCCTTGAGAGCAATGTTTGAAGGTTATCTGTAGCTCTTGGAGCGTGCATGGCCGACAATTTTTAGAGGCCCGAAAAACCTTGCCGAATCTCCCTGAAATAAATTCAGTACTACCCCATGGAATCGAAACCTGCTATTATTTTGATCAAAATCACCCCCCTTAAAAATGTTTTCTCAAATTCTCCATAAACCAACATTTCCTCCAGGTACTCGAGATCTTATATCGTCCATGTAAGGGTTGGGTTTCGATTTTGCGCCTAATTTTGGAGGATATTATAAAATTAAGCGGCCACTTGAGAGCAAAGTTGGAAGGTTGCCTGAAAAGAAAGTTTAATGCAAATCGTCTGAAGTGTCCCTCTTTTAAACCTAGTACAAGTTAACAATTCCTCCACTTTTGCCTTATAGTCAAGTCATGACGCCTCAAAGCTTC